AGCAATTAAAATTATCGGATTTGTCGACTTCACTGAAGGATCCGCCATTTCCTAAAGCTAACGAGACTCATTTAGCTAAATTATCTCAGTTACAAAGATTTAAATGCAACGATTGGTATGCAATTCGTTTTTCTGAAACACAGAAAAAATACCTAGCTACCCCGGGTTTTATAGAACTCAATATCAACGATGAATTGAGACGTTTCAAAGAGTCTAGTGCCAATGAAGATCGTTTGTATCTTTTAGAGAGGACCTACGCTGCCTTATCGAGCGCTATTCTGACTCAGAAAGACGAATTGCTTATGACTTTACAAAACTTAGTAGATTGGTCGAACGATAAAAATACAACGCTCACGCCCAAATCTTTATTTGATAAAATTGAGCAATCATTTGGTAAAGAGAGTAATTATACAAAAGTAACTGATGACATTTTACAAATATGTTGCGGCAGGAGGGCTGACTGTATTCACATGCGCAGGGAGTGTATTTTAAAGCAAATTTCAGAGGAATATCATTGCGGAGCCTTGCAAAAAATTCCTCCAAGTGCAGAGAATTTGTTTGATGGCGACTTATTGGCAACATACCTTCAAAAAATTGGGGGGGCCGAAAAACTAACACCTTCATTACAGACTACGCACCATGTGGGACCGAATCGAAATCGTTCCAGCGATAATACGCCGAAGCCGTCGACGAGCAAACAATCTGGCGGCAACAATTTTCGAGGTAACTCTTCAGGCTCGAAGGACAAAAATAAAGGTCATGGCAAGTCTTTTGACAACAGGACATCTACCAACAAGAACAAGCGAGTCTATAAGGGTAAGAAACCAAGGTCACACTCCCCTGCCAAAAATAATCGTGCATGACTACAAAAGCTTTCGGGGTGGTTGTCTGCGGCAATATTTGCATGTTTGGGAAAACCTGGGAGCTCCCGATCACATATGCAAACTGCTGAAAGGAGTACGTATCCCGTTTATAATGAAGCCACCCCTAATATCACCCAATCAATCGATTATCAAAAATTTCGAAACAAAAAGAAGTCGTCACATGTCTCAACAAATAAAGCAAATGTTAGACACACATGTACTAGAGAGGGCACAGATAAATCCCAGTTACCTATCGAAGTTTTTTCTAGTGCCAAAAGCCGACGGTTCATTCCGTCCCATTTTCAATTTGAAACAGTTAAACAAATTTGTCAAATTGAAAAAGTTTCATCTGTTCAGTCATTTTCGCGTGCCAAGTTTCTTACAGAGCGAAGACTGGATGGTGAAGGTAGATCTCAGCCAAGCGTACTTTCATCTACCTATAGCCGAGCAGCATCGAAGGTTCCTGAGACTGATCTACAACGGCGAGCTGCTCCAGATGACCTGCCTTCCGTTTGGCCTGTCATCGGCACCGAGAACGTTCACTTCCCTGACGAACTGGATCGCAGAATACCTGAGGAGTCACAATATCAGGTGTGTGGTTTATTTGGACGATTTCTTGCTGGTCAATCAGTCTCGCCATATTTTACACGACCACGTCGTTTTTATGGTGAGCCTGATGCGACGACTCGGATGGACGATCAACGTGGACAAATCTGTACTGGTTCCGACTCAACGCCTGGAGTTTCTGGGAGTTACATGGGACACCAAACTCAACACGAAGTCCCTGTCGGAACCGAAGCGCCTAACGCTACGCATGGCCCTTCAAAGTCAGATGTCCAGGGGCAGCTGGTCTCTCCGACAAGCCCAGTCACTTCTGGGGAGACTCAACTTTGCCTCATTCGTCGTACGCAGAGGGCGACTACACTGTCGGACTATGCAGTACTACAGCCGACAGCTTCCCAAAGCGCACCCCTACAAGCGAGTAAGTATACCAGAACCTGTTCTTACCGAGATGAGTTGGTGGATGGAAGCCGTACGGGACTCGTCAGCGATACATACAGCCCCGATATCACACCTGCTGACCACGGACGCGTCCGACTACGGCTGGGCAGCTCAACTGGGAGATGTGAACATGTCAGGTCAGTGGACAAAACGACAACTCACATGGCATGCCAACCTCAAAGAGCTCTATGCGGTTTTCGCGGCGATACAACAGAGCGAGTCGCTACAGAATGCTCACATATTGTTACAAACGGACAACCGTACGGTAGTGGCGTACGTCAACAAGGAAGGCGGAACCAGATCGAAGAAACTGTTAGACCTCACTCGGCGACTGTTGACAGTAATGGACCAGCTCAATATTCATCTGACGGCACAGTACTTCCCGGGCAGATTCAACTGCGAAGTGGACGCATTATCCCGGGGCCAGGCCTGCCCGGAGTGGAATTTGACCGAGGAAGCCACGAATGTAATATTCCAGATGTGGGGAACGCCGGAAGTGGACTTGTTCGCATCGAAGACGGCTCACGTGGTTCGGAGGTACGTAACAATAGACACGCAGGACGACGAAGCAATTTTCCACAACGCCTTCCTGCAGCAGTGGGATTACGACCTGGCGTGGCTGTTCCCTCCGCCGAATTTGATTCCCCAAGTACTGTCGTATCTCAACACGGCGAAAGGTCGGTATGTTTTGATCACCCCGAAGTGGAACAAGGTCTTTTGGAGAGCGGACCTTCAAGCCCGCGCCATTCGGGGACCATACCGCATACCGAACCTGGAACAAGTACTCATCGACACGAGAACCGAGATGCATCCGCCCCAGATCCACGAAATATGTTTGGAGGCATGGCTGGTATCGGGTGGTTTGATGAGATAAAAGGTTGGTCGCAAGAAGAAACGTCTCTGTTAATGTCTAGCTGGCGGAAATCGACTTTAAATACCTATAGACCGGCGTGGAACAAATGGAAAACCTGGTGCGGCGCTAACTCCATCTCCTACACCAGCCCGAGCCCGGAGCAAGTCGCTCGTTATCTGGCACACTTGCATAACGACGAGGGTTTGGCTTATCGTACAATTTTGGTCCACAAATCTGTCATAGCGACTTTCACAAATACTAATTTGTCATCTAACTTTTTTGTCAAGCATATTCTTAAGGCTGTTTCAGTAGCAAAAGAGAAGAAAACCAAACCACCTATCTGGAATGTAAAGGAGCTATTAAAATGTTTGGAAAATAGTGCACCTGATTCTAGCAATCTATATCAGGTATCCCGTCGTGCTGCGATTTTATTGCTGTTAGCATCGGGACGCAGAGTACACGATCTTACCCTACTGATAATCGACCCAGAGTCGTGCGTGGACGAGGGCGATTCAATACTTCTGTGGCCTAAATTTGGATCTAAAACTGACAGCTGTAGTTACAGGCAATCGGGTTGGAAACTTAAGAAGCACCCAAACCAAAACCTCGACTGCGTGCATTGGATTCGACAGTTGATTGAAATATCACAAGATCGTCGGAGACAAGGTAATATCAAAGAGCTTTTTATTACTGTGAGGGGAGACCCAAAACCGGCATCCAGAACGGTTCTCGGCGACTGGATCAAGTCCGTGCTGCGGGACGCAGGCGTGGAGGCCCCGCCGGGCTCTGTGCGGTCCGCGGTAGCGTCTCTAAATTGGCTAGAACATTTTCCAGTAGACCAAATTCTTGCAACCGGTAACTGGAGGCAAGAGCATACATTTAGGACCTATTACCAAAAAGAAATAATTAATCAAGCATCTGATACTGATTTATCGCACTCGGTTTCTCTATCTAATTTCTTTGAACCGGTGCAGTAATTTATGTTACAAATTAATAAATAGATTATTGAAAGTAGACTAGATTTTGCCTGATGATCTGTAGTATACATTCATTATCATGAATATAGAGATTTAATATACCTATAACCTGTATTTATTTTTCATAAGACATAGCATCATCATTCGACTACCAGGAGATAACAAACACATCACTCAACAAGATGGATTCCGGATATTGGCACGGAACAAATAATAGAGAGTTTTAACTAACAATAAAACTTACCTATTATTTTTCCAACAATATCCGGAATCCAGGTAATGCCTACCTGGTACATCGTGAGTAAGTATAATGATCAAAAAGCCGCGCCATATTCCGGTCGCCGCCATTACCCCTACCAAAACGAGCGATGGTGGCGCCGGAAGTCGAAGGGAGGAAGTTGCTAAGACGAAAAAACCATGTAAAAAGACAGGGGCTTTACTCAACAAGATGGATTCCGGATATTGTTGGAAAAATAATAGGTAAGTTTTATTGTTAGTTAAAACTCTCTATTTTTTTGCAGTTCTTGCGCTGTGTAACAGTTTTTTGTTTAAAATAAAAGTGTCATATGCTTTGTCACATTAAATTTTTAAATTAATATAAATCAAAAGCTCATTTTTTTATTAATGATACACTACTTCTCTTTCTTTCTTCTCGCCACTTCGAATTCATAACCGAAAATATCCTTTCTGTAAATGCCGAAGTGGCGGGAATAGAGAGCAGGAATGAAATTACTTCAAATAAATTTGGTAAGTCATTTTCAGTATTTTTTTAAAATATGCTGCCATTTTTGGCCTGTAGTTTTGTCAGTAAAGTCACTCGGTCATTCTCCGGATCTGGATTATTTTGTTGATTACCCCGACCTTTTTTATTTTTGAATTTAGAGTAAGTTTAGGTAAAACATTTCAAAATAGACATTATTACGAGCATATTTTTTATATTGGCCCATCTGTAGCAAGCAGGAATAAAAAGTTATGCGACATCAAAATTTTCATGGTCGGGGTAATCAAAGTTGGGAGTCAGAGTAATCAAAAATAAAACAAAATATTTTATTTTCTAAGGTTTTTTTAAGTTATGGTAAAATAAATGTTATTATAACTAGCCATTTGTTATTTTGATGTATAAACGACAATATTGTAAAGTTTGAACAAAATCTGTTAAGTAGTTGTTGCGTAAAAGAGTAAAAAACATACATATACATTATACATATAATATTAGTGACTCAATGTCCTATGTCTCCTATATGGGACAGAAGAAGGCGTCCACAACAGTCCTCCATNTTATTGTTAGTTAAAACTCTCTATTGTTTAGATGCGTTTTTAGTCTTTATTTGATTACGAAGTACAAACAGTATTAACAATTGATATTTATTAAATCCTATTGGTAGCATTTTTGATCTATCAACGATGTAGACTGGTTTATAAACATGATTTTTTACATTAATAAATTCTAAATTAGATAAGAATGTGATATTCGTAAATATTGAAAAAGGTTATTAACAGTATACTCTAATATTATAAACGGGATATTGTATAAGTAAATAATTAGAGATTTTTACAAAGTGAAATATTCAACTAATAATAATAATCTTACGCTATCAGGTGCACATGATCACTACGGCCGCAATATCACAATGTCGCGGCCCACACGGGCGCGAGGGGGCGTGGCGGGAAATTCACAATTAAGAATTGTTCTTAATGAGCAAATTATTGACTATTTTGAGTATAGGTTCGAAACCGTCGTCAAAAATGGGTCATAAGGTGTATTGCTGCGAAACGTGCCCGAAAGTGAGACATTTGAATTTGTAAGACCGCAGAAGCCTGCAAGCCAGCCCGTGTTTTACACAAACGTCACACAATTGACGCACGCCAGACATTGCGAATACCATTCTATGCAATCTCCTCTTAAAAAGTATATTAAATGACCCGTGTGTGGCCGCTAAAGATGATCATTCTAACACTCGATAATTCGTTTCGCGGCAATTTGTTACAACTACTTGTATCACTACTTCACGTCTTTTGCGTATAACTAATGTGTCAGTCTTTTATACAACTACTAAACGAGGTAAGTAAATTCAGTTGGACAGGTTATATAAATATGGTTACATTAAATACGTTAATATAAACTTTAATATTAAGTAACAAATTATTTGCATGTAAAAAGAAGCTCTTAATAGCTTCTCAGTAAATAGGCAATATTTTTCGGTAATCGTTCTGTTTCGCAATTTATTTAAGTCTGTAGAACCATGAGAACTAACTTGAAAAGTAACGGAATGGGGGCAGCATAAAAATGTGAGGTTTTTTGGTACCGAATGATATTTTTTTTCCGGGATCTTTCGCTAAGCGCTAAACGCTTTATAAGCCCGGTAGGCTTTTTTCGTCTACATGGATGCGGAAGTTCAGTTTTCCGTTGCTATCAAATCACGTATTCGTATCATGTCAATCGAGGCTTTCGTCAATATATTCGGGATATGTCAAGTTCTACCACCCGTCTAGGTGCCAAGTCCACCCGGCGGGCGCGCGGTCCCGAGCTCACAGGTCGGTGTGGTCGAGCAGCGTGAGCTCGCGCTCGTAGTAGAGCTGGCGCGCGTAGGCGGCGTGGCGCGCCACCCACGCGGCCAGCGCGCGCGAGTCGCACTGCACGCGCGGCCGCCGCACCGCCTCGCCCGCGCCCGCGCCCGCGCCCGCCCCGCCCGCCCCGCCGCGCACGCCCAGCTCCACGTAGTGCGCGCCGTCCACCGTCACCGTGGAGCAGGACACCAGGTTGCCGAGGTGCGTCTCCATGACGACCTGCGGCGCGCCGTGCTTGCACGTGAAGATGCGCAGGTAGGAGTCGGACAGCAGCGCGCGGATGTCGTGCGGGCGGTCGCGCACGAGGCGGTAGGCGAGGAAGCGCTCGGCGTAGTCGTTGCGGTTGAGCGCGTGCAGCAGCGCGGCGCCCTGGGCCTGCGCGGCGCAGTAGCGCGGCAGCAGCCCGCCGGCGCCCAGCACGCAGCGCGGCGGCCGCACGCGCGCCGGCAGCCAGCGGTCGGCGCGCCGGCTGGTGTCGCGCAGCGCCGACGCCGTCTCGGCCGCCAGGTCCAGCACGCCGATGACGGGCTTGGTCACGGTGCCCAGCAGCCCCTTGCCCACGCCCGCCAGGAAGCCCGGCAGCCCCTCCGCCGCCGCGCCCTCGTAGCTGTGCTTCACCAGTGACGTCATGCCGCCTGCACACCATAGTATTTTACAATAATAGGTACATTTTTGTCAGTAAATTTATATTTTTTAGTTTAGTATCTTCAATAAATAATGAGCAACTGACCGAGTATGCCGAGCCCGAGGCCGCGGAAGCCGGCGGCGAGGTGCGCGCCGGCCGCGCCGCTGCGGATGCGGCGCCGCGTCTCCTCGTGCGCCTCGTCGCTCACCACGCGCTCCAGCCCGTCGCCCAGGGACTCTGCGGACACACATAAGGACTATGAGCTTATCGAGAATTAAGATACATTATAAAGCTTCAAGGCAATGCTTGACATTTCTCTCGTTTCAGCCAAATGACGTCTGCTGCTGAACAAAGGCCTCTCACAAGGAAGAGGTTCCATAACGACCGGTCCTGTGCTGCCCGCATTTAGGTTCGTCCCGCGACCTTCACCGTGATCGTCTGTCCCCCTAGTGGGAGGTCTGCCCACGCTATGTCTTCCGGCCCGTGGTCGCCACTCGAGAACTTTTCTGCCTTAACGACCGTCGTTTTACGAGCAATGTGCCCCGCCCACTGTCACTTGATTTTAGCAATTCTGCGAGCTACGTCGGTCCCTTTGGTTCTCCTACAGATCTCTTCATTTCTGATTCGATCTTGCTTTATTGCTGATGTTCATACGGCGGTAACAGGACAAGGCTACTGACCGGTGACCTTGGCGGCGGAGTTGGAGAGGCCGTGCGTGACGTTCTGCAGCAGCGCGCCCACGTTGCCCTCCAGCAGCAGCCCCGACACGCCCTCCGACACGTCGGCCACGAAGCCCAGCGGGTTGCCCAGGAAGTCCACCGAGCCCAGGATCTTCGCCGCTTGCCATTTTAGTTCCTGGGGATATGTTTTGTATCAAATTTATAGCCCTCATAAAAGTCTGGGCATATTTTTAACCATTTGTCTAGTTCGAAGCTGGCCCAAATCTTGATGCACGATGCATACTTGGATCAGTTTATTTATGACTGTCGAAAATAAACTGTTGTTATGAGGGCTATCGTTTTTACACTTAAAAATTGGCACTACTGGCGATTGCTCTTCAGTGGCGTCATCCTGGTAAGTGCAAATGCAACAGTCCTCCTACCGCTTCAGCGCTCACCAGTTGGCACAAGTGACAGTGACCTTACTCTACAGTGACGCCATCAGGTGAGCGCTAAAACTTTAACAGCCCTCATTGAAAGTATATTTATCAAAAGACACGAGAATAACCTACACTCCACAAACTGTTGTAGAATTGCCCATTCATAAATTTAAAACACATATCAAAAGCACCTTAATGAAAAAGGGCTACTATAAAGTTGATGATTATTTAAAAGATAAAAATGTTTGGAATGTTTAACTACCTAGCTCGCATCAATACTTATGACTATAATTTGTATTTTTTAAAAAGACTGTAAACCCTTGAAAACGAGGCTGACAATAGTGACTGAGTTTCTTGCGCTGCTTCTTCTCAGCACTGGCCCATTTATTGTCCCGAAGCAGTGGTAGGGTTAATATTGGGACGTGTAAAAGTGCTTTTTTTAAAGCCTATTTGCAAAAATAAATGAATTTTATGAATTTTTATTTTACTCGTGAATACAAAGGCATAAACGATAAACATTATGGTGTGGTAGGGTTAAGCACTCACGTCCTTGAAGTGCGCGAGCGCGTGTCTCGCGAGGTGCGCGGCGGTGTCGAAGGCGTGCGCGCGCACGAAGGGCTCCAGCTCCACGCACGCGTCCTCGAACTTGATCAGCGTCAGCCCCAGCCGCCGCTTCAGCGTCGCCAGGCTGCCCTCCAGCTTGCTGGCCGTCATCATCGACAGCCGGATCTGGGCCGCACACAAACAATCAATATACAGGGTGTCCCGTAATGTAACGTCAAGCCGGAACTGGGTGTTGAGGCAAGTTGTGCTGGTTATCAGAAAAATATAAAAAAAAATCTATGTGGCATATTTTAAAAATAATAGGCATTTAAAAAAAATCAAAAAATTCTACTCCAGGTGACGGTCCTTTTACTCGTGTTGCCACAAATCTTCACTTTTTCCAAATTTTTTTTTTGTTATGTAACCCTGAATAATGCTTCTCTAAATTGTTATCAAAATTACAAAACCAGCTGCTCCAGCTTGGATGAAAAAAATACATTATTCCCAAAAAAAATTTCAAAATAAAAATTTTGCCTAGTTTAAACTGCCTGTACTGAAAAAAAAANATTTAAGGTACAATTCCAAGACGGGCCGCAGACCGCAAACTGCAACCGCAAACTGCAAAACTATGAAATCGGCAGCGCGGCATTGCAGCTGCGGCGTGTATACTGCAGATTTCATAGAGTTTTGCAGTTTGGCCTATATCCGAAACTATCCGTAACTTTTGAATCAGTTTCGGTTACGGTTATGGTCATTTTTTTATTTCGGATATCCGATAGTTTCGGTTACGGTTACGGATATCCATAACATCCCTGCTTGGTAAGATGGCCCTCTCCGTCCCCCTCATACCTTTTAAAATGGCTTCTCCACCTCACTTAAGCCAGAAACTTGAATTTTGGGCACATTAGAATAATATTTTTAACCAAGGTAGATAAAGTTAAAAACGGGATTATTTCCAATAAACAAAAATTGTCGACAATTACAGCAAGATTTTACAAAGTGTTATACCATTTTGGAATCCTTACTAAATGCGCCAAATTATGACGTCACTTGCCACACTCGCGTAGTACATTTTTTTTTCAGTACAGGCAGTTTAAACTAGGCAAAATTTTTATTTTGAAATTTTTTTTGGGAATAATGTATTTTTTTCATCCAAGCTGGAGCAGCTGGTTTTGTAATTTTGATAACAATTTAGAGAAGCATTATTCAGGGTTACATAACAAAAAAAAAATTTGGAAAAAGTGAAGATTTGTGGCAACACGAGCAAAAGGACCGTCACCTGGAGTAGAATTTTTTGATTTTTTTTTAAATGCCTATTATTTTTAAAATATGACACATAGATTTTTTTTTTTATTTTTCTGATAACCAGCACACCTTGCCTCAACACCCAGTTCCGGCTTGACGTTACATTACGGGACACCCTGTATAAAGATAATGTACGAATCGTGTCAACGACATGCACTACTTAGCATATGGGATTTTAAATTGGCAAATACAATTGTGTTATTTAAAGGTGAATCTTTCCTTATTGCACTTCCACTGTCAAAACAACCGATTCATGAACATTATTCATTTATAGTGCGAATAATTTGTAAGTGCCATACTTTTATTAACTAAACTAGCTCACACAAGCTAACTCAGTGCCGATATACCGTGCAATCCTATGATGAACACATTTACCAGGCAGAAAATAATAAAAAAGATGTTTTATTGTGTCTAAGGATATCATTCATGGAGCATTTTTTTGCGCTCAATCAAACAAATCCGGGAGCAAACCAAGAGCAAGGTTCTAGCGGAAATAAATCAGATAGATCTGACCTTTCGGACCTTCATAGACTGTGTGCATTAAATACGAAATAATTTGTTATTTATGCAGATTCAAAAATAAGCCAAGGACAAAATGGGCAAACGAAAATTAAAAATTATCTTTTTAAGACTTTCAGCCTAAGCGGCCATGGCGTGAGTTTCCTTAAATATCTGATGGGAGACTGTAATAGAGGGAGGTGATGTCTAGGGTTCCTCTCTCTCTAATCATTCCTCAAAAACCTCATCCAAAAACTCGCATTCGTGACGTTAACACGGCATGGGTGGTTGAAACGATTTGCGTGACTGAGTAGGTGGAGCCTCGTGCTTTTTTTTTGTGAAGGTTGGCGGCGAATATTCCTCGCACGCACTCGTTGAGAACGCTCTGTAAGGGGAGGCGCTATCAGTAGCCTCGTCCGCGCCCTCCGCCGCGCCCTGCTGCTCGCCCGCCGCCCACCACACGGCTGCAGCCACCGACCTGGCCGGGCACGAGCTGCAGCAGGCCGGCGTAGACGCGCGGCGCCCCGAGCGCGGCCCCGCGCGCCTGCAGCCGCCGCGCCTCGTGCTCCGCCTCGTCCGCGCCCTCCGCCGCGCCCTGCTCCTCGCCGCCCGCCGCCCACCACCATAGTTGAAGGATCAGCCTGTCAACAACCGCACTCATTAGCTTGTGACGCGCCCCGCGACGCATCGACAGCCCTAGCACCGAGCACGGAGATTTTGACAACCCTACGGCCGCGCGGCCGCACGCCGAACGGACCGTGGCGCCCTCAGGCCGCGTCCGTAGTCCCCTCGATCGGGCCCAATAGAGTGAGCCCGCCGTAGGCTGGACTTTGGAGCCTGGGCTTCGCTTCGCGAAGCCCACACTCGGCTCAAATCTCCTCAAGCTACCAGCGCGCGTCCCTTCAAAAAAAAAAAAAAGCGGGCGCCTAGCATTCGCTCGGGAGCCATTGCAACAGCCAGACGTTCGCGCGCGCGTCTATTGTTCCCTCGGCTGCATTGCACAGAGTCCCTAGCGAATAGCTATCCACATTGTTCCCACTAACCTTGACTGTTCGACTCTGGCTTGATCCGATACCTCGTCACTAATCCGCGGCGCCATAAAGCGTCGTGTCGAGACATTCTATCGTTGATAGCCTACCGGTTCTCGTCCTTACCAAGTAGTGCATGTGTACTGAACAGCGGGGTGTCAGACTGAGCTAGCTAAGACGCCCCGTTGCAAGCTATTAGCATGAAACATGTCTTTCATATTGACCGGTTAGTAGCAGCCAGCATTCAGTACCTTTCGTCCTAAGCTGCCCTTCGCGGTACATGTCCACCAATCTGGCTTGCTGCCCCATCGGCCGTTACTTCTACGTACTGTGCCCTGCCCATTGCCACAGCCCGATATAGGTCAGTGACTTTGTTTATGGATCTCCTCATTTCAAATAAAGAAACACCGAGCTTGGCCCTCTGCATAGTACGCTGTGCAACTTCGAGTTTCTTTTCAATTGAATCTATATATATAAAAATGAAACCCGTTTTCCGTTGTCACGACATAACATGAAAACGGCTTGACCGATTAGGCTGATTTTTTTTTTCGTAGTTTTCTAATACTCTGTACAAGGTTTTTACGGAAAAAAATATAAGGAAAATCTCTACGCTAAGGCGGTACGAAGTTCGCCGGGTCAGCTAGTTGCCAATAAAAATTATTGGACATACCTCTCCTCGAGGCGGATGGCCAGCGGGCGCAGCGCGACGACGATGTGCTTGAAGAAGATGGCGTTGTAGCGCTTCTGCACGCCGCCCACCACCTCCAGCGACGCGTGCAGCGCCGGCGCCGCGCCCGCGCCGCCGCGCTCCGGCAGGCAGTACAGCAGCACCGGGCTCGGCGTGCCCAGCAGCTGACAACATAATGCCACAGTTTAAAATAAACGTCATCATCATCACAGTTACAGGATATCCACTGCTAAACATAGGTCTCCCCCAATGATTTCCATAGTGACCAGTTGGTATTGGCAGAGTAAATACAAATGAGTAGGTCATCTTCACAGAAACGCACGGGCGCGATTTGCATGTGAGCGCGCCAACACGCACACACTGACAAAATTTAGCGGGGATTAGCGGGGAGCCAGTCGAGGTTGCGCCGAATTTTGTCAGTGTGTGCGTGCGCACCGCATACGTATTGGCGCGCTAACATACAAACCGCGTTCGGTGCGTTTCTATGAAAATGAACGCGGTAACCGTAAATATAAATGTATTTACTTTGGTATTGGCCTGCATCCAGCGAAATCCTGCAACTCACTTTGGAGGTGGATGGACCGCCGCTTTCCCGTATGTGGTCTCCACTCCAGAACCTTGCTGAACGAGATGTAGATAATAATGTAAAAAACTGTCGTGTAGTATGTTCATTCACTTCCTGAATTACAACGTCAAGCTATATTTACGAATTCTGGTTTTGGCTGCTGAAGTCTATTACTGAAGTGAATTATTGTTTGTTTGAAGTAACAGGATTTGATACCGATTTTTATTGGTGTAAAACGAATAAAACAAATTGATCACACGAGGCTACCTGAAATGTCGACTCACCTGGTTATCGAACTGCATGTGTCGCACGGCCAGCGCGAGCGACACGTTCTCCCCGATGGCGAGGTCTGCGGCGAGGCCGGCGAACACGGCGTGCACGAGCTCGGCGGGCGGCGCGCGCGACACCAGCGACAGCGCCAGCCCCGCCAGCGCCGCCGACACGCCCCACTCGCGACGCCGCGCGCCAGGGCTGCTGCCCTCGCCGTCTTCCTCGCTCTCCTCGATCCAGTCGCATTCCTGAATGGGTATAATAATAATAAATACTGTTTATTGCACACCAAAGAACAGAACACACAAGGTACAACTAGGCGGTCTTACCGCTATGAAGCGATCTCTTCCAGACAACCTATGAAGAGGACAGTTATTTAAAACAAATATGAAGGGGAAGGGTATAGTTAAAATTTTGATTATGGACACTTCAATACATTTCTAGTGTTTGTGTTCTTTGGCTGAACATAAATTTTACTAATTGCGGTGATTTGTTTTGCGACAGTTCTGCTGAGAACCGTTTGGCTGCCTTGGAGTCTGTGGTAAGACGTGCCAGAAGGCTAATCAACAGTCCCAGCCTTGTTGAAGCTTCGGTCCAGGAACTTGACCACCACCATAAAGCAGCATCTGTACCGTACTAGACTGCATCTCACTCAATATTAGGTGCGATTGCAGTCAAAGCAGGTGCTTTGTGCTGCATAAAGAAATGAACAGCTGGGCTAGAATGCGCGCCGTGATACAATCTTATCGATCATTTGAGACGACAAATGTATGGACTTATAGAGTAAAATCGGTAAAATGGCATGATAAACACTTATAGCGGCGCGTATCCTAGGCCTATAGATGTTAATACTGACCGGCGCGTGCGTGTCGTGCACGCGCAGCACGCGCGTGGGCCCGGCGGCGTGCAGCGACACGTCCAGCCGCCCCGAGCCCGGCCGCAGCGTGTGCCACGACACGCTCGCCGCGCTTGTGCTCTCGCGGGCTTCTGACGAGGGCAGCGCCAGCACCACGCGGTTACCTGGAATGAACCAGACAATAATTTAATATGGTCGAGTGAAGCGATGGCTGGTTCACTCGTCATGTCTGTGAACAGGCGCTGCTTTCGGGGACTGGTCAATCCAAGTTATTCAAATTTATGTATGCGAGTCATTTCTACTAGTATCTTAATATGTAAGTCTAGATATTAGCACGTCACTACCTTGTTTAATATACCACGCAATCTTGTATACCCATTCTTATAAGATACACCATACAAGAATGCATGGTAAATTCAGTGAACTGCTCCTGAATCGAATGTACCTACTACTACTATTTCTATTTATTTATATTAACCGGCAGACAGTGGTGACTGAGTTTGTTGCGGCGCTTCTTCTCAGCACTTGCCAAATGTTGGTCTCGAAGCGCTGGTAGGGTAAAAAGATTATGAGACATGTAGAGGCTCCTTAAGAGCAAAATGACGATTTGTAAGAACTATTTATTAGTCCAAACAAATAAAGAAATTTTGACTTTGACTTTGAATATTATTTACTTATGTAAATTCTAAATCAAGCGTGAGCAAGACATCTATCTTTCAGCCCTGAGCCACACATCGCGATAACATTCGAGCGACAGCGGAGCGTTCTGTGACTATGAAAAAAAACACCGAAGTATATCTACGCGAAAGTGTATCTATTCCACTTTGATCTCCTGGCTTTGATATGATCAAAGTGAACTCCAAGCGACAGTTTAGTGTCCTTTGATTACTCATTTATTTTATTTTATTCGGAAAACCAACAGCAATACAATACAAATCATGGATAAGATGACCTGGGTGATCAAAGTGGACTCCAGTTAAATTATTATTTTAATTTCCTTTGATCACCTATAAATAAATCACACCTCCTCGTATCCATGCCAGGTGACAAGTGGAATAGACCAACGCAAATACCTGGCTAGACGCATTGTGATAGCGCGAATCATCAGGTTATCGCTATGTATGTGGTCCAGGGGTCATCGTTACTTTTCCACATGTTACACGATAAAATTATACAGGGTGTTAGGTAAATGGGTATATGAGCCGACACTAGCCCATGTTAACATGGGCATATAAATGGTATGGGGAAGTCAGAAATTTGATATCATCATTTAATTTTTTTAAATTTACATACAAAATAAATTTTATAAAATCCGATTTGTATGAAAAATAAAATAATTAAAATGAAGATATCAATTTTCTGATTTAACCATACCATTTATATGACCATGTTAACATGGGCTAGTGTCGGCTCATATACCCATTTACCTAACACCCTGTATAACACGTATCACTGCCTCTTCTACAAGTAGAGTCGGTACCAGACTGCAGTACATAACTTACCCGGGACGAGCCCCTGCGGCGCGGCGGGACGCACGCACAAGTTAGCGTGTGCGCAGGTCATGCGGCGCGCGTGGGCGCTGGCGGCGGGCGCCAGGCGCCAGGCCTGCGTGGAGGCGCGCCGCACGTCCGCGCGCCGCACCACCAGCGCCGCCGCCACGCCCGGCCGCGGCGCCGCCTCCTCGATGTCCAGCACCTGCGACGCGACCAAACATAATACCACAATGAAGACTTAACAAAATAGACACAGACGCACAGAAGAACATAGAACCAAACACTGAGTTGTTTTACCAAACACAGTGCATTACAAGAAAGATTTGGCCGTATGGATAGTTATCCAAAGCCGTAAAATTTATATGAAAAAAAAAAACAAATATAATCATTTATTCAGTACTTGGGACCTTTCCAGCCGGACTAGGATGCGCGCCGTGATATACTTCATCGACGTCAAAATGTATGGGAAAAATGGCGTGATAACCGCTTATCGCGGCGCGCATCTAGGCCTACAGGGCGCTTATACACGTCCCAAATATAGCTTGTCCTACCGCCACTTCGGAACAACATAAATGGATTGGAGCTGAGAAGAAGTGGCGGAAGAAACTCAGTCAGTCACCTTTGTCAGCCTGATTTCAATTAGTTACAGCAAACACATTAAACAAGATAGTATGTAATAAGAGTGAGCCACAACATAACTCAGCTTTGTAACCGAAAATTCAAGCAGATGTAAAGTAGAAATTATCAACACCACAATCTCAAGAGATGGAATATACGCACCATGGCATGGGGTGATATCGTCTGCTCATCAGCTAACAAAGCATCAGTAGGTTGGGGAGGTGAGCTGCCTTCGTGGATTAGCTGCTCGTTGGGTCCTCGCCTCCATAGTTGAGATCTATCCATATAAAAATATTATTAGACAATGCGTGACAACAACACGAAATAGAAATACTATATTCAATAAATTACCTGTCTCCGTATCTCTTTTTCCCAAGAATAACTTTTGTAGATCCCAGGGGAACTTCTAAGACTAGAATATCTTCACTTTCTGGAGCTGATTTACTTGCATTTTCTCTGTGGACAAATTATACAATAAATAAATTCTTCCAATTATTGTTCTCACCACAACTAAGCATCTAGAAATGCATAATCAAATGAAGCTATGTCAGTCGCCTATAACGGCTTATAAATTCTGATATCAGTGTTGATGACTAAAGTAATTTCTTATGGCGCAAGTACACTATGCGGGAAATTCTCGCCCTCGCCCAGCCGCAGCTGATGCCAGCATACTGACCTGTGCGGCGCGGCTATGGCGACGTAGATGAAGTTCTGGTAGAAGAGGCGCTGCGGCGCGGCGTGCAGCGCGTCCAGCTGCAGCGTGGCGCGCGTGCCGCCCGGCGCGCGCAGCAGCACGGCGCGCTCGCCCTCCGGCAGCGGCAGCATGCCAGCATACTGACCTGTGCGGCGCGGCTATGGCGACGTAGATGAAGTTCTGGTAGAAGAGGCGCTGCGGCGCGGCGTGCAGCGCGTCCAGCTGCAGCGTGGCGCGCGTGCCGCCCGGCGCGCGCAGCAGCACGGCGCGCTCGCCCTCCGGCAGCGGCAGCATGCCAGCATACTGACCTGTGCGGCGCGGCTATGGCGACGTAGATGAAGTTCTGGTAGAAGAGGCGCTGCGGCGCGGCGTGCAGCGCGTCCAGCTGCAGCGTGGCGCGCGTGCCGCCCGGCGCGCGCAGCAGCACGGCGCGCTCGCCCTCCGGCAGCGGCAGCATGCCAGCATACTGACCTGTGCGGCGCGGCTATGGCGACGTAGATGAAGTTCTGGTAGAAGAGGCGCTGCGGCGCGGCGTGCAGCGCGTCCAGCTGCAGCGTGGCGCGCGTGCCGCCCGGCGCGCGCAGCAGCACGGCGCGCTCGCCCTCCGGCAGCGGCAGCATGCCAGCATACTGACCTGTGCGGCGCGGCTATGGCGACGTAGATGAAGTTCTGGTAGAAGAGGCGCTGCGGCGCGGCGTGCAGCGCGTCCAGCTGCAGCGTGGCGCGCGTGCCGCCCGGCGCGCGCAGCAGCACGGCGCGCTCGCCCTCCGGCAGCGGCAGCATGCCAGCATACTGACCTGTGCGGCGCGGCTATGGCGACGTAGATGAAGTTCTGGTAGAAGAGGCGCTGCGGCGCGGCGTGCAGCGCGTCCAGCTGCAGCGTGGCGCGCGTGCCGCCCGGCGCGCGCAGCAGCACGGCGCGCTCGCCCTCCGGCAGCGGCAGCATGCCAGCATACTGACCTGTGCGGCGCGGCTATGGCGACGTAGATGAAGTTCTGGTAGAAGAGGCGCTGCGGCGCGGCGTGCAGCGCGTCCAGCTGCAGCGTGGCGCGCGTGCCGCCCGGCGCGCGCAGCAGCACGGCGCGCTCGCCCTCCGGCAGCGGCAGCATGCCAGCATACTGACCTGTGCGGCGCGGCTATGGCGACGTAGATGAAGTTCTGGTAGAAGAGGCGCTGCGGCGCGGCGTGCAGCGCGTCCAGCTGCAGCGTGGCGCGCGTGCCGCCCGGCGCGCGCAGCAGCACGGCGCGCTCGCCCTCCGGCAGCGGCAGCATGCCAGCATACTGACCTGTGCGGCGCGGCTATGGCGACGTAGATGAAGTTCTGGTAGAAGAGGCGCTGCGGCGCGGCGTGCAGCGCGTCCAGCTGCAGCGTGGCGCGCGTGCCGCCCGGCGCGCGCAGCAGCACGGCGCGCTCGCCCTCCGGCAGCGGCAGCGCCCAGCGCGCGCGCCCGTGCGCGCCCACCACGCTCTCCTCCGAGCACCCCACCTGAAAGAGCACACGAAAACTTGTTACGACACGCCATGTACAAGGCGTATAGATCGCTCAACCAGAGTTGAGGCCATAAACACAAGCAAATATTTGTATCTGTCTTGCGTGTTCGGACTGACAAGTGCTTTCTGATTCACTTTAATAAGATACTTAAGTAACAAGAGCAAGGTAGCTAGTGTATCTGATATTTGAACTTGAATGTGTAATGTGTTGTTCATCTTCTGTATTCAAATATTACATCAATGTGAGTACATGTTCGCCTCAACTTTTGTTGCGCAACCTATACCTCCAACGTGGCAACAGAAGAAAAATTCTCGAGTGGCAACTACGCATTTTCACAATGGTAGATAAACAATCTATTTTTAAATATAAGGTTATTAAATCAATTACATACGCTGAAAATCAACAGTCAAGTTTTATATTGAGTTATTGAGCATGCCAACAATATAAGTATTGAGCGTGACCTGGTGGAACATGATGGAGACGGGCGCGTAGTTGTCGATGCGCACGGGCGGCGGCGCGGCGGCGGCGTCGCTCAGCAGCACGAACAGCGACGCGGCCTCGCTCACCACCTCCGCGCGCACCAGCAGGTAGCCCGCCGACCCGCCGCCCGCCACGCCGCCGATCTCCCTGCGACAATACAATACAAACTTTATTGATGTAACGGCCAGATCTAACGTCTCATAAAGCTCAGCTAATCGGCCCCGATTGCACTAATTTGTAATGTCTCCAATTCATTTGCGCTTCATCTCCAATCGCGCTAGAGTCACGCTCAAAGAAGAACGGTCACGCCCCATACAAAAAAAACCCAGACCCGACAGAAACGAGACATACCTCAGTTTTTTTGTCATGTCTTAATTAGTTAAATTATGTATTTTTTATATTCGAAATCTATGTATAACACCAAAATATTACCCTTTGTTTTTGTTCAGGCGTTATACAAAAACTAATACAAAATGCCTATTTATCACCAAAATTGGTAAATGTATGTACCTAAATGTCTATTACAGCTGCTATGGAATGTATCTAGGTGACCTGGAGTTACAGCCGGATTATACAGGATGGTTATACATATGGAACGATAAGTGATCTCACTCGATTATTTCTAAACTATACAAGATATCGAAAAACTAGTTACTGATTCTGAAAGTGCTTCACGAGCTCTTTTAAATGGTACCAATAATCGTCATGGTAAAAATCGTCTTGATCTCCCTTATTCTTTCCTTTTCTCCCTTATCCTCTCCTATCCTCCCTTACCTCTCGTCATCCATTTTATATAAATTATATGTATGTATTTATGTATATATTTTGTATAAATATAGGTATATTATAATATTTAATGTATTATATTGTGTACATTTTTGTAGCTTTTTAGCACCGCCTACTAAATATCTCTGTTTTGCTCAAGGTCAGCTGGTAGAGAATGACGTATGGCATTAAGCTCGCCTTTTTGTACAGAACATTGTTGTGTGTGCAATAAAGTCTTTAAATAAAAAATAAATAAATAAATAAATAATAGGTTACAGATTATGGAAGCTGGTAACATTGAATTTTGTAACTTCTCGTTTCCACCCTGTATAATCCGGCTGTATCTCCAGGTCACCTAGATACATTCCATAGCAGCTGTAATAGCCATTTAGGTACATACGTTTACCAATTTTGATGATAAATAGGCATTTTGTATTAGTTTTTGTATAACGCCTGAACAAAAACAAAGGGTAATATTTTGGTGTTATACATAGATTTCGAATATGAAAAATATATAATTTAACTAATTAAGACATGACAAAAAAACTGAGGTATGTCTCGTTTCTGTCGGGCCTGGGTCACAGATGACCGTTCTTCTTTCTTTTCAGCTGATGTGCATTTCGGTATTGCGATAAAATGCACGGCAACGTCGTACGAATATGCATTTTCCATTAAAAGTCCGAACACCTTATTTTTTAAACTACCATGATTAAAACACAGCAAATGTTCGTAAATCGTTTGAGATAAAGTTGCTTTCTGTCATCATTTACAAAAACGCAATTGCGTTTCGTTCACGTTACAGCCTCGTTTGAACTAATTGTAAAATCAATACCACGATAGGGATTTGTCAAACAGTTGATTTTCATTCGTGTTCTTTTTTACGGCAATCGGGGCCCTAATTTGTGAATGCTGTCGGCAATCTAAAGGTTTAATGAATGATTTCTATTGACAAAAATATCTCGAGTCGTTTAAGCGCTTTATCATCACCCGGGCTGCTCATTGACAACGTGAGAAGCTCATCGTGTAGACAGCAACATTAGTAAATGACTGGAGGCTGAAATAATATGGTACCTGCAGGCGAGGTGCAGCGCGCGGTGCGCGTCGACGCGCGCGGGCCCGGACCAGTGCGTGCGCGGGCCGTCGGCGCCCAGCACGCGCACGCACAGCAGGCGCGGCTTGTCGGCGCGCGCCCAGTGCCACGGCAGCCAGCAGCCCGCCACCGCCGTCACGTGCGTCGCCTCCGCGCCCGGGTCCGCCTAAAACACGTCTTTTGTTACGGCTGCATTGACGCTAATACCAGGCCTGTTCATCTCCAGGAGTAGGCATCGAAAACAAAACACGCGCGGTGGCCACGCCGACATGGCTAATCCGCAAAGAATTCATAACCAAGCAATAACCGGTTTCTCGGGTAAAAAGAGTGTTTGCAATGGATTTCTCTAGTATGTGACGAAACTGACGAAATCTTGTTGGTAAGGAGAGCGAATTATATTATTTATCTGTGAAATATACACACTATAAATGTCCTACACCGAACCGTCCCACCTGTGACATTGACAAGGGGCCGCCACGTTGGAAAACACTGAAATGTCATTTGCAGAAGGGCACTGCCATCGATGCCGGTTACTATTTCCGATCTTTGCCATTTGAAGTTTCAAAATCGTTCAACATAGTAAACAATAGTAAGTAAATGAATGCTTGTTACCAGCTCGGTGGCGGTGCAGTGCTGCGCGAACTGCAGGCGGTAGGGCGAGTTGTTGTGCAGCTGGTAGCGCGGCGTGAGCGTGACGATGTTGGTGTGCCGGTAGCGGCCGCGGCCCGCGCGCACGCTCACGCCGACCGTGTACTCGCGCTCGTCGTCCGCGCCCTCGCCGCCGCGGCTCACGAGTCGCTTCACCGCCACGCCCGGGCCCAGCCCGAACGGCGAGCACCACTGACGAACAAATACGCTGTTAGTAAACTAAATTAAAAATTGACTTTTTTAAAAGCGTTTTAACGCGTCCCAGTATTACTTTAATCCCTAACGGTGCGTCCAGACTGGGCGCACCATTACACTGCCTGGGGAGAATAAATGGACCAGTGCTGAGAAGCAGCGCAAGAAATTGTGAGTTTCCAAAAGTGTGGGCCAATTCCTTAATTTGTCTTTTGTTGTTCCTAAATTAGAAAGAAAGAAACATTTATTACGATGAACATTTTGAACATCACTGAGAAGGTATACGGAAAAAAGACAGAAACAGCACATAAATATTACAAGGAAATAAAAAGTGAACTGATCAGTTCTATCTTGTCGCAACAGCGATGCCTATCGCAATGGGACTCCAATTAGCATATGCCGTGGCCCACGGCGGGGAAGGCCACGACGCTGGTTTTAATTAGGGTTATGTTACTGCAGGGGAGACTAAATAATGAGAGATGATGTTTGTTTATTTATTAGGTCTACCAACATTATTAAAAACTAGCTGACCCCGCGAACTCTGTTCCGCCTTAAAGGCAATAAATAAGCCATCGCAATTTTTCCTTATTTGCTCACCGTTTAGACCTACCCTGGACTACGACAAACATTTTAAAACCAAAATCAGCTCAATCGGCCCAGCCGTTCTCGAGTTTTAATCAGACTAACGAACAGCAATTCATTTTTATTTATATAGAATATATGTAGATAGATAACATTATCAAATATTAAAAATAGAGTCAAGAGTGTACCTCGGGGTTGGTGGCGCGGCCCGTGCCCAGGCGCGCGGACAGCGTGGGCCCGCCGTCGGCGGAGGCGAAGGAGAACAGCAGCGGCGCCACCACGCGCGCCAGCTCGTGCTCGGCGCCCTGCCCCGCCGCCTCGCTGGCCGCGCCCTCCGCGCGGAACACCAGCGGCAGCCCCGTGCGGTTCACCAGCCAGTACGCCGCGCTCACCGACACCTGCGCACAGGACGATGTTCATGCGGTAACGCCGGAATACTAAAGTCCGGTCGCCGAGCAGATGGAATTTCGTCCAATGATCCCAAGCTACCCATTCTTAACACGTGTAATTATATTGCTGTTGCGCTCGCACACTCATTGCGGCCGCCCGTCACACAGTCGCGACAGCAATATAATTGCGTGCTAGTGCTATTTGCTCGGCGATGTAAACAGGTAACATACAGGTGACATTATCATCAATGACATCTTCTACGTGTAGCAACGACTACACTCTTGGCAGAGTGAACGTGGTCGTCACACCTGGTTTGGTAACAAGCTTTACATCTATTTATTTATTTATTTATTTATTTATTTAGGAAAACCAGGGTTTTACAGTGTGTAATAATGACACAAGATAGGCAACGAGTAAACCACTTATAGGTTCCCACAGGTAAAAAAAAATCTGTCGTCATTCCTCCCGCATTGCAGCCTTACTTGTACACTCGTGGAGTGGACCATTGAGTGCGGTTACGATCTGACCAGTCCAGCGCATCAACGACTTAATGACATTATACTGTCTTGTTTTTATCTCACTGGTCCTATAAGACAGGTAATTGCATTTGAACATAACAATCAACCTTTTTTATTACTCTTTTAACTGACCTTGATGCCGGCGGTGTTGGTGCTGGTGACGCGCGCGTTGAGGTAGAGACGGCGCGCGCGCGCGTCGCGCAGCTTGAGGCGCGCGGTGAAGGCGGCGCCCGCGCCCGCGCCGCCCACGCTCAGCGCCGACGACCAGCCGAAGCCCTCCAGCTTCACGCACAGCTCCACGCCCTCCTCCACGTTCAGCTGGACAAAGAAGACAGATACGCTCAATATTGCAACGATGAGATGCCTGAACGATCCGTTGTAATAACGACACGCAGGATTTTTATTATTTATTTATTAGGTACACCAACAAAGTCACAGTTCATACATTTTAACATGGTTTAACACAATCATAATATGACCTCAAATACATTTTTATTTAAAATTTAATTATATTTTTTTTAATTAAGATATGTATTAATTCTTTGTATGTAGGCCAAATCCTCCATTGAAATTCATTAATTTTTTGCAAGTAGACTTTTAAAAAGCACTTTTACACGTCCCAGTATTAACCCTACCAATGCTTCAGGACAATAAATGGACCAGCGTTGAGAAGCAGCGCAAGGAACTCAGTCACTATCGTCAGCTTCTTTTTATTTATTTATTTATATACAGTGTGAGTCACGTTAAAGTGTACATATGAAAATAGATGAAACTAGACCTATTTTTATCGACAAAAAAGAGATCAAAAAATTTTTGAGTTTTTTTTTTTATTTTTTATAGAATTTTTTTTCTTCCAATAGGCTAGTTGCCTNATGCCAGCATACTGACCTGTGCGGCGCGGCTATGGCGACGTAGATGAAGTTCTGGTAGAAGAGGCGCTGCGGCGCGGCGTGCAGCGCGTCCAGCTGCAGCGTGGCGCGCGTGCCGCCCGGCGCGCGCAGCAGCACGGCGCGCTCGCCCTCCGGCAGCGGCAGCATGCCAGCNTCTTAATCTTTGTTACCAACTTGTCTGGCATTCCCTGGCACCATCTAATATGCCAGCCTGTTTTACCTTTATCATACATAGGTGTCGTCTTAGTTGGTACATAAAGTAGCTATGTGGGTCACGCAGCATCTTGCTATTTGAATTATATCTACATTTTTGAAATTCTAATAATTCCATAACCGAAATTATCCGAAACTTTCGGATAATCTGAAATGATTTCATCTCCGTGACCGTAACCGAAACCGGTATAATATTATTCTAATATCTGTAACCGTATCCATAACCGAAACTTCATATCCTTATTATCCCTGTTACCAAGTACAAGTGCAGGCAGAGCAGGTAGAAAGGCGCGCTCGCGCGGGTGACTTTTGTCACAGTATGTCAACTACTAACTACTGTCATGGTGACAAACGCTTCTGTGACTGACTGTACGGTAGTCAGTCACAGAAACTTGAATTTTGGGCACATTAGAATAATAATTTTTAACCAAGGTAGATAAAGTTAAAAACGGGATTATTTCCAAAAAACCAAAAATTGTCGACAATTACAGCAAGAATTTACCAAGTGTTATACCATTTTGGAATCCTTACTAAATGCGCCAAATTATGACGTCACTTGCCATACTCGCGTAGTACAATTTTTTTTCAGGACAGTCAGTTTAAACTAAGCAAAATTTTTATTTTGAAATTTTTTTTTTGGAAATAATGTATTTTTTTCATCCAAGCTGGAGCAGCTGGTTTTGTAATTTTAATAACAATTTAGAGAAGCAGGGTTCAGGGTTATTCAGGGTTAAATAACAAAAAAAAATTGGGAAAAAGTGAAGATTTGTGGCAACACTAGTAAAAAGACCGTCACCGGGAGTAGATTTTTTTGTTTTTTTTTAAATGCCTATTATTTTGACAAAATGACACATAGATTTTTTTTTATATTTTTCTGATAACCAGCATAACTTGCCTCAACACCCAGTTCCGGCTTGACGTTGCATTACGGGACACCCTGTATATAATTCACTGTGGATTTACAGTTTTACCCAAGACGTCCATCAGCGGCAGAGGTACAGAATACACGATTTACATAAATAGGTGCTTAAATAGGTACTATGCGACAGAAAATTGTATACCTCCAAAATATACTGAGCCATACTGTCAACAAACACGTCAATATGAGGTTTTTTCGTGAGAAGCGCATTTAATGACGTCAGTGCTCAAGGATTTTCAAGGTTTCCGACGCATTCGCCTCTGGTAAATTAGAGATGGTCACGCTCCCGTAATGGATACTAAATGACCTGAAGGTGCGCATACCTCGTGGAAGGAGCGCGTGTGGCCCGAGGCGAGCGCGCCGGCCACGCCGGCGGCGGGCGCGGCGGGCGGCGCGGGCGCGGGCGGGCCGGCGGCGCGGTAGTGCAGCTCCAGCGGCAGCAGGTTCTCCAGCCGCAGCGCCGGCACCAGCGTCAGCGTGTGCCCCGCGATGGCCGGCCCGCGCTCCGCCGGGAACCGCTCGCGGACTATCGAGCAGCAAAACCTAACAGGACAATATTAACATGCAAGTTTTTAATAAGATGTAGACGAAATAGAACGAACAAACGAGAGCAGTGTGCTTAGTGCGAGTTTACATCAAACGTCATCGCTAGCGACTGCTTAAAAAATGTCATGAAATGTACGACAGATTATACAGCGTCCCTAGCGGATACTTTCAAGAATTGATATCTTCATAGAATTTTGACGCACTCGCTAGTAATGACGTTCAATGCAAACTCACACTAAGCACACACACAGTGGCTAAAAGTGACGTTATGTAAGTAATGCGTGCGCTTCATGTAAGGCATAGAAAGACGAAGTAAAAAATATAATTAATCGAGTAACATCTGCTCACAGCTCAACAAAATAATACAATTGTTGAAAAAAACAATTACTATTTTTTTATAATTTTTACCTGTATACATGGTCAGGCGGCGCACGGCACTCGTAATGCAGCAGCGCGCGTTGCGTGGGCGCCGCTCGCCAGTCGATGGCGGCGGGCGCGGGCGGCGGCGGCGGCGGGGCGTGGCCGGCGGCCGGGGTGGCGGCGCGCAGCACGGGCCGCGTCCACAGCGCGCCGGGGTCGGCGGCCAGCGGCGCCGCCCACATCGCGCCCGGCTCCACCTGCGCCACGCGCACGCCGCTGCCGCTCCATTGCGCTGGAAATTATTTTAATCTTTTAGTGCCTTTTCACACGTCCCGGTTGCCGGCTAACCGGCGCGTGCCGGTGCATGCCGGATTAATTACGCCGGAACATGTGAAAGCTACGTACCATGCCCATACACTTCACCATCGGATACCCGGCGCCGGTTAGCTGGCAACCGAGACGTGTGAAAAGGGCCTTAGAAACACGCCCAAAGCCATATTTACACGTCCAAAATTGATCCAAATAAATGTCCAACTACAAGACGAATATAAAAATACAACATAAACTCATTTACTTGATTAAACGATTATACATACTGTAGATCTAGCGCTTAACTCAGTCAGCAGCTTAGGTATGGGAGCAGCACGGGAGCGTTTTGTGACGGTCAAACGTTAGCGCGACTTCAGATTTGTATGCTCTGTCACGTCATAATATGTCAATGTCACCCCTCCCGTGCCGTTCCCATACCTCATGTACGAACCGAGTGAAGCTTATACATTGTTATTTTACTATTACATAATTATATTTAACCTAGGCTACACAGTACAGCTGATCAGATTTATCGCACCCTATCTACTGGCAATCTATTTAGTGATTCTCGAAGTTACAAATACCTACACTTTGTTTCAAATCTTTTCTAACTGAATGAACCGAGATAAATGAAGGGACTACGCGTTCAGTTACCGCAGTTGACAAACATAGGGTGCAGGGCGCAGACGGGCGCGCGCGGGGCGGGGGGCGCGGCCAGCCCGCGCGGCAGCGGCCGGCGCGCGCGCCACCAGCGCGCCACCGGGCCGCCCGCGCCTTCTGCGCCACACACTAACTTCACATCACGGTAGTAGCTACCTACTTATTTTGGGTTATGTTTGAATTTAAGCACAAGTTTTTAGGACATTTTGCGTACATCCTGTCCGTCATATACGTTTTTATATGACAGACAAGCAGACATAATATTAACAACATTTCCTAAATTTATCAAATGCGGCAACAGAACTATCTCAAAATAATAATAAGTAATTAAAAATGTCGTAAATATGAAATAAATACGCGTTTTCAATGCAGGACGTAGACACAATATTTTAACGAATCAGTATGAGCAGGCCCTTACCCTTACAAAAAAGTAATTTTTTTTTTTTTGTATTGGCAAGACCTGGGGGCGTAGTATGAGTTTACGTCAATGCATTTGATATTGACAGCGTAAAATAGTGACATTAAATGTTTGATGGATTGTACAGCGCCCCCAGCGGATTCTTTTAAGAACTAAAATCTTCATTTATAATATTTTTTTAACGCAGTCGATGTCCTTTGACGTAAACTCACACTACGCCCCCTGCTCACACCGGCTCACTCACCAGTGGGCGGCGCGTAGTCCACGCGCACCTCGACGGCGTGCGGCAGCGTGTTGCGCAGCACCAGCGCCGAGCGCACCGTCACCAGCTTACGCGCCGAACCCTCCAGGCATACTTCTAGTACGATACGCGCCGTTGCACCGGTTTTCTGGGGGATACAATATTCCATTATTCAGGATAGACAATATAGGATCTACACGACAATAAGACTTCTTGGCGGGAGAGAAAGCAAAACGGTCCTGCGTCATTTCAATTCCTCAATAAGTCCGCGGTAGGTCTCAGTAAAGGTCTTCACATTTATCAAAAGGAAAGAGATCAACACCGTACCTATCGCATTTCATCACGCTGTCAACCGCGAGGCGAGGCGTTTTCTTTACGAAGCGGATAAGTGTGTGTTGGAGTACGGAGTCTCATACAATGAATACTGTCCGCCTCGAGTTGATATGGTTACGGTCCATTTCCGGGTTAATAATGTTTTGTCCTTAAGAGTAGGCGCACACCGTTGATTTTTCGTCGGCCGATAGTTTAGTCGGGCAGTTGATCAGTATGGGCATGTATGGGAGTGCGCACACTACGCCGATTCGATATGGCCGATTCTTCATACAATTTAAAATCGGGCACAACTATTGGCTATGTGCACGATTACAGCGCCAACTAGCGTCCACAACTTTGTGGGCTCTGTCACATTGACATTTAGGTCGTTTATTTGTGAAAAATATCGAAATGAAAAAATAACGAATATTTTCGACTAATAAATTGTTGTGATACCACGATTTGGGTGGAAAAAAGGTTTTAAAATCATTTTGATCATTCAAATCAAATGAGGTAAGTCCGAAAAGTGTGTTTAATTTTGATTGTGTCAGGGTTTGTTTACTTCAATAATTATAGTTGTAGTTTTACAGTAAAACAAAAAGAAAAAGCTACTTTAACGGTTTCATTATTTAACAGTAAATATATTTAAATGTTCCTGTAACGCTAGTAATAAATTAAATATCGTTTTCAGATCGAAATGAGTATTGTTTTGAAGACCGGGTTTGTGAGTGTTACAATATCAAATTCCAACCACAAACCGTATTTAAAGGAAAGATATTGGCTGGAGACAAGTCCGAGATGTAGAAGAATTAAGAACAAAACAAGGGCAGAGTTCAATAATTCACGCTCTCATCATAAGGCAAACATCTGTGCATGTGCACAACAACTACTGTGACTCATTTTTGTACTACCACGTTGTATAGTCTAGTTACCTATTTCCAAATTGTAAACGGCTATTAAACCAGCCCTATCGAAATACAGTCCACTCTTTTATTTAAGTTCCGAGTAGGACCCTTTTCATGCGATTAATTAATGATATTAAAATGTATTATGTAGAATCGCTTTGCCATTGACAGATACATATGATGACAGAGCTTACATTATTTCTACTTTTGACCACCATGAGCGCTGCGATAGGTTATGTTACCCCCACCTAGTACTTCGCACCCAGCGAATAGGCCAACTAAAAAAATCAACGGTGTGCGCCTACTTTAAATCGTCATATTTTAACGAGAATGAAGGCTCACACTCACCGCATGCGTGATGTGCCGGAAGTAGACGCCGACGCGGTCGACGCAGACGGGGTCGGGCGGCGCCCAGCCGTCCAGGCGCAGCGCGAGCTGGTGCAGCGTGGCGGGCGCGTCGGGCGCGGGCGGCGGCGCCAGGCGGGCCCGCGCGCGCCGCCCGCCGAACGAGAACGGCTCCGTGTCGCCCGCGCGCACGCACACCCACGAGTCGTCCGGGCCCGACCACGCGTGCGACTCGCACAACCTTATGGAACAAATACCCACATGTAAATAGCACATGTATCGAAAGACGCATTCAGAGGGCTTAGAGCGCTTTCACATTAGGGCGTTAGAAGCACAGCAGCGCGGAAGCAGCACATAGTATGAATTTTTGGCACGCTGCTAAATCGCCTAAATGTGAAAGCGCTCGTAAATAGCATGAATCGAAAACGCATTCAGAACATTGTTAACAACTTTAAAATAATTATAAACTAAATGTCTAGCGTTTAACTGAGTCAGTTCCTAGGTAGGGAAGCGGCACGGGAAGGTGTTTTTATGACGGTCAAACTTTAGAACTCCTTCAGATTTGTATGCTCCATCACGTCATAATATGTCAATGTCAGTCACCTCTCCTATGCCGCTCCCATACCTCAGGCACTGACTCAGTTAAGCGTTTTATACCTATAGATGAATATTCATCTATTATACTACTCATCTAATATAAGCCAGGATCAATCAAAGGACAATGGGCAAAATGGTACCCGGCTCTAATAGATATGTGTCTAGTATCGTTTGAAAGGTCTTACCAAGATGAACAACTTTTACTATGACCACCAGCCTCAGATCTGGTTGTGTACGAAGATATACATACTTTTTTGCAGAATGGTACCCGGCTCCAATAGTTATGTTTGTAGTGTCATTTGAAAGGTCTTACCAAGACGAACAACATTTACTATGGCCACCAGCCTCAGATCTGGTTGCGTTCAAAGATAAAGATACTTTTTGTGTAACCTAAGTATCATACAGTATGAAGGGGGACGCGCTCGGGGCAGGGCACCGACGAGATGGTCGGACGCGGTGAGGAAGACGGTGGGCGGGAGTTTGCATATGAGCGCGGTGGTGACGTTGGCTCAGCTCGCTGGTATACTGGGCGACAGTGCTGTGTGACGTCACCTGCGGCGCGTAGTAGTCGGCGGTCCAGTTGGCGCGCACGAGCTGCGCCAGCTCCATGAGCGCGGTGGTGACGTTGGCTCAGCTCGCTGGTATACTGGGCGACAGTGCTGTGTGACGTCACCTGCGGCGCGTAGTAGTCGGCGGTCCAGTTGGCGCGCACGAGCTGCGCCAGCTCCATGAGCGCGGTGGTGACGTTGGCTCAGCTCGCTGGTATACTGGGCGACAGTGCTGTGTGACGTCACCTGCGGCGCGTAGTAGTCGGCGGTCCAGTTGGCGCGCACGAGCTGCGCCAGCTCCATGAGCGCGGTGGTGACGTTGGCTCAGCTCGCTGGTATACTGGGCGACAGTGCTGTGTGACGTCACCTGCGGCGCGTAGTAGTCGGCGGTCCAGTTGGCGCGCACGAGCTGCGCCAGCTCCATGAGCGCGGTGGTGACGTTGGCTCAGCTCGCTGGTATACTGGGCGACAGTGCTGTGTGACGTCACCTGCGGCGCGTAGTAGTCGGCGGTCCAGTTGGCGCGCACGAGCTGCGCCAGCTCCATGAGCGCGGTGGTGACGTTGGCTCAGCTCGCTGGTATACTGGGCGACAGTGCTGTGTGACGTCACCTGCGGCGCGTAGTAGTCGGCGGTCCAGTTGGCGCGCACGAGCTGCGCCAGCTCCATGAGCGCGGTGGTGACGTTGGCTCAGCTCGCTGGTATACTGGGCGACAGTGCTGTGTGACGTCACCTGCGGCGCGTAGTAGTCGGCGGTCCAGTTGGCGCGCACGAGCTGCGCCAGCTCCATGAGCGCGGTGGTGACGTTGGCTCAGCTCGCTGGTATACTGGGCGACAGTGCTGTGTGACGTCACCTGCGGCGCGTAGTAGTCGGCGGTCCAGTTGGCGCGCACGAGCTGCGCCAGCTCCATGAGCGCGGTGGTGACGTTGGCTCAGCTCGCTGGTATACTGGGCGACAGTGCTGTGTGACGTCACCTGCGGCGCGTAGTAGTCGGCGGTCCAGTTGGCGCGCACGAGCTGCGCCAGCTCCATGAGCGCGGTGGTGACGTTGGCGTGCAGCGTGTCGCCCGAGCGTAGCTGCACCTGCACGCGCCCTGGCGATAGTTCGCTCGTCAGTGTATTCTCCCATGTTGTTTCAAATCTGAAACAACGATTGCATACTGATAAAGTAAGCGACTTTAGTTCGTCGCTGACACAGCCTGAAGGATTAGCAAGCTGAAGTAGCAATGGGCAAGGCACATAGTACGCAGAACTGACGGCCGATGGGGCAGCAAGGTTCTGGAATGGAGGCCGCGTACCGGAAAACGCAGCGTGGGACGTCCACCTACAAGGTGGACCGACGGTAGCAGGGAAGCGCTGGACGCAGGCCATTACCAATCGATCAACGTGAAAAGCATTGGGGCAGGCCTATGTTCAGAAGTGGACGTCCTATGGCTGAAATGATGATGATGAATGTAAGCGATGCACCCACCGACAGCTTGTGTCATCAGTTTAGTGTAACTGATTACAGAAACAAATGACATCGACACATTACGTAGCTTAGCACCCAGTATCCCTGCTACGTTACCTCCAGGGCTCGATGACGGGCTCCCAGCCGGACAGCAGGCGGTTGTAGTAGTCGGCGGCCAGCAGCGCGGCCAGGCGGCCCCCGCCCGCGCCCCGCCCCCGGCCCGGCNGTTAATAGATTGTAGTCATAATACATACTCGTATACATGGATGATTGTGTTATACTTTCATTATAATACTTAGTGGAATTACTGCTTTCAAAACGTCAATTAGAACTGGCCCCATAGCAGACATTTTCCTACATCTAAAGGCCTTTTAATATATATATTGGTTATGGCTATTGGAGCGGGTACCACTTTCCATACATTTGTGCCCATCATCCTTTATTTAAAACAGCCCTTTACAATTATTTACGCAAAAAATATGCAAAAAGATTACTCGTCAGCCGTAGTCAGGAGCGTGGTGAACCATAGGCGGTGTCCGGTGTGGTTGCGCAGCGCGTAGGGCACGAAGGGCGAGCGGCGCCGGTGCCCCGCCGGGCTGCCCTTGGGCGACTGCTCCGACGTGTTCACCGCCTGAACAACACAATAGTCTTATTAATCACCTAGGTTACGTAAAGCTAAACATTCTCGCATCGTATGAGCGCGGTGGTGACGTTGGCTCAGCTTGCTGGTATACTGGGCGACAGTGCTGTGTGACGTCACCTGCGGCGCGTAGTAGTCGGCGGTCCAGTTGGCGCGCACGAGCTGCGCCAGCTCCATGAGCGCGGTGGTGACGTTGGCTCAGCTCGCTGGTATACTGGGCGACAGTGCTGTGTGACGTCACCTGCGGCGCGTAGTAGTCGGCGGTCCAGTTGGCGCGCACGAGCTGCGCCAGCTCCATGAGCGCGGTGGTGACGTTGGCGTGCAGCGTGTCGCCCGAGCGTAGCTGCACCTGCACGCGCCCTGGCGATAGTTCGCTCGTCAGTGTATTCTCCCATGTTGTTTCAAATCTGAAACAACGATTGCATACTGATAAAGTAAGCGACTTTAGTTCGTCGCTGACACAGCCTGAAGGATTAGCAAGCTGAAGTAGCAATGGGCAAGGCACATAGTACGCAGAACTGACGGCCGATGGGGCAGCAAGGTTCTGGAATGGAGGCCGCGTACCGGAAAACGCAGCGTGGGACGTCCACCTACAAGGTGGACCGACGGTAGCAGGGAAGCGCTGGACGCAGGCCATTACCAATCGATCAACGTGAAAAGCATTGGGGCAGGCCTATGTTCAGAAGTGGACGTCCTATGGCTGAAATGATGATGATGAATGTAAGCGATGCACCCACCGACAGCTTGTGTCATCAGTTTAGTGTAACTGATTACAGAAACAAATGACATCGACACATTACGTAGCTTAGCACCCAGTATCCCTGCTACGTTACCTCCAGGGCTCGATGACGGGCTCCCAGCCGGACAGCAGGCGGTTGTAGTAGTCGGCGGCCAGCAGCGCGGCCAGGCGGCCCCCGCCCGCGCCCCGCCCCCGGCCCGGCGCCCCCGGCGGCGCGGGCGCGGGGCCCGCCGGCGTCGACACCAGCAGCGGGTCCTCCAGGCCCTCCTCCTCTTTGCGGAGATCCTGCGTTTCAAGAGATATTATAATAAATAATAATAATAATAAATAAATAATAATAACCAGTCCATCCATCCTTCATCCATAACCCTAGTCCATTCTCCAATAGCTGCAATAGCACCTGTGCACAGGCTGGGGATGGTCTCTGGCTACATCCCATGACATAGTCAGAGACTAGATCCAGCATGTGCACCACTTTCACTTTTGTCGATTATTTTGCGCTTAAAACGGCCTCTACGTGTTGGATCTGTATCCCCACGCAAGCCTTATAAAGGACCGGGCCACTTTTGACCCGTGAGCTCCAAAGCGTACAAACATTTATCTTCTGAAGGTATTACGACATATTACTACGATGTGAAGTTAATAACTCACCTGCTCAACTTTTAATTCTGCCAGAGAAACTTCGAGTAGCGGCACATCCGAGTCCAAGCAATCGTCGATGACGCACAATGTTATACATTCAGCGTTAACCTGGAATAATCACACACATTATTCAGAGAACTCTGTGAATACAAATGCCAACTATAAAATAATGCATAAGTATAATTGTAAAGCCTGGTCCGTGAGCACGTAGAATTTTGTCCAATGACCCCAAGCTACCCATCCTTATCGCTCGCGCGTAATTATGTTGCTGTCGTGCTCGCACACTCACTGGGGGCGCCCGTCGCACAGTCGCGACAGCAATATAATTACGCGCGAGCGATAAGGATGGGTAGCTTGGGGTCATTGGACAAAATTCTACGTATTCACGGAGCAGGCTTTAGACGGCGTAATTTTATCCACCGTTCATCATACCTGTATGGCGCGTAGCGGCCATATGGAGGAGCTGGCGGGCGGCGGCGGCGGCGGCGGCGCGGGCTCGGGCGCGCGCAGCCAGCGCGGCGCGTACACGGCCCAGGCACCGGCGCCCAGCACGGGGTTGGCGCCGGCGCGCATGTGCACGCTGTTGGCGGGCGCGTCCTCCTCCGACGCGCTCGGGACCACCTTGCCTGCCGTAGAAATTAGAAAGAAACATTTGATATCATGTCAATGAGGGCTATCGTTTTTATACTTAACAGTTGGCACCCCTGGCGATTGACAGGACCTTTCTCTACAGTGGCGCCATCTTGATGAGTGCAAATGCGATAGTCCTCCTACCACTTTAGCGCTCACAAGCTAGAGCCACTGTCTTCGCGACTAGCAAGTGACAGGACCTTACTCTACAGTGGCGCCAACTGGTGAGCGCTAAAACGATAGCCCTCATTTTGTGATCATTATTATCGTATTCGCTATTCAATCGAAGGTGAGGGGTATTCACGTTTCCTCAAGTTACCAAGGCCGTACAATTTGATGTCAATGTTAATCAGCTATCAAATTACCATAAACTATTGGATCAGACTATAGACAACACGACGTAACCTACTGACCTGACAGTGCCGCCCTCGCCTGTGCCGGCAGCGACTGTAGCATAGCAGCGAACATACGCATGTCGTGGTATGACAGCCGCAGATTCAGTGTGCCCATCGCCACCTGCACAAACAACCGTGTCAGAAAACCACAAGATGCACAGGTGGAAAACTGGAAAGAACTATCGTATACAGTGTGTCTTGGGAAATAATAATCTAGGGAAAGAAAGAAAGAAAGAAACATTTATTGCCATGGACATCACAAAAGACAAAAGAGGTAAATAAAAAAAAAGCAAATAAGACAGAGGTGACATAAAACATACAATGGAAGAGAAAGTAAACTGAGCAGTGCCACCCTGTCGCACAACGATGCCCATCGCAATGGGACCCCACTCAGCATACCTATGCCGTGGCCCTCGGTGAGGGACGTGGCCTCCCTCACCGAGGGCCACGGCACCCTGGTTTTCAGTGTGCCCCATGCCGAGTGGGAGTCACGGACACTAACCTATACCACAGAATAATAATAAGTACTACGTACAGAAGTTTTACTTCGCGAAGGTATTTAAAAAAATGTATGCTCAATGTCATTAACAATATGGTGTAATTTAGCCTGTCTCAAGAGTCAAGCACCATTTTGTTGACAAACGTCAGTGATCGGCACTGCGCCGAAGCTTTTTTTTTTTAAAAGTACATTCTGTGTTTTTATTATTATTTAGGCAGTTAAAAACTGCACAGTATTTAGTACACCATTTTCTTTATTTTCTTCCATCATACACAAGAATACGCGGGCGTGAGTCACTGTTCGCTCGTATGTGAGGCCTTGTCGAATAGTATCCTGTAGGTGGGCCATCGTGCGTGTTTTGTTTTCGATGTAAACTCGCGGAGATGAACAGGCCTGCCTATACTGCATAAAAATACATACATAAATAATAATAATAGTGCGCGTATAAATTTAGGAAAGCGGAAAGGGCGCATGTACTCTGTGATCGAACTCGTGATCTATGGACAATTTTATCTGTTGATAAAAACACTGACGTGCAGCACGCGGTCGGCGTGCAGCGCGACGTGCAGCGCGGCGGGGTCGACGATGGACAGCGCCGTCTCCTCCTCCAGCCCCAGCACGCACGAGAACACCTCCAGCTCGTTCAGCTCGCACGACACCGGCTTCAGCGGGTCCGACAGCCGGTACGTGATCACCGTGGTGCTCTGGTGACAAACACATTTTATTAAATGACTATTGACGGGTACAAAGGTGTTTCATCATTTGTCATACAAAATGGAAGAACCACGATTAGACAGCTTAAAAAATGTTGCTCAATGAGGGCTATCGTTTTAGCGCTCACCAGTTAGCGCCACTGTAGAGTAAGGTAATGTCACTTGCTAGTAGCGAAGACAGTGGCACCAACTAGTGAGCGCTAAAGTGGTAGGAGGACTATCGCATTTGCACTCATCAAGATGGTGCCACTGTAGAGTAAGGTGCTGTCAATCGCCAGGGGTGCCAACTGTTAAGTATAAAAACGATAGCCCTCATTGTTTAGTGTGTCAACTAACCTATTAATGAATGGTATCCAAATTCCTGCGGACTTACCCTGAGTATGACGGCGTTGGTGTCCCACACGGAGGCGTCCTCCACGAGCACGAGCTGCGAGTCGGTGACGTTGAGCTTCAGCTCCATCTGCGCCTCCCCCGCGCCCGCCGCCCCCGCCGCCCCCCGCGCGCCCGGCGTATGTGGTGCGCTCGGCTGCCGAGACGCGTTGGCTGCCTCGTCGCTAAAAAATCATTCACCAAAACGTGTATCTTTCTTCCTCTGGTTAAGCAAAGTCATAGGCGCAAAGGACAGAACGTAGAACAATGTAAATTAAGCAGTAGACGTGTGCACATTTCATCAGTTAAAGACGATATTATTTAATTCTGCATCATTGCAAAATAAAGTGAATGAAAAATACCAGTAATACGACATATCCACCAAGGTAAAAAAAAGTAATCGCGGGAGGTGTCTGGATGAGAGCGGCGCAGGATCGGTCTTTGTGGAAATCCTTGGGGAAGGCCTTTGTCCAGAGTGGACGTCTTTCGGCCGAAACGAACGAACGAACGAAAAATAGTAATCAATTTAGAAGTTCCTGCTTATTACAAGCTTTTTATTACTTTCACATGTCTGGTGTCTGTCGTCAAATCTTGCAACTTAAAATTGACCCACTTCCCGGTTTCCTATTGAGCTGAAATTTTGCATACATGTGTAAGTCCGATGACAATGCAATATTATGGTACCATTGAGCTGGTCTGATGATGGAGTCGGGAGGTGGCCATAGGAACTCCTAAACAAAACGGCGGAAACTCATCGAGTTTGGGTTCGTTGGATTTGTCTTTTCGAGCACTTTAGTGTTAGATAACGTCCAGGGTCCTGAGATTAAGATATACCTAAAAAGTGTAAAATAAAATTATAATAAAAATAAACTTTTTTAAAAACAAGCTTTTATTCTGAATTTCGAAAGCTTGTAGCGCAAACAGAGAAAAAGAAGAATAAATTCCATGCGCGATACAAACTTTCGAAATTCAGAATAAAAGCTTGTTTTTAAAAAAGTTTATTTTTATTTATTTATTTTCACCAATTTAAATATTATTTGACTCATCCTGAATGGCCTTTCCTAAATGAACTTACAATCGCGCCTGGTCGGGGTCTGCGCTGGGCGCGGGCGGCTGCATGATGAACTGGTTGACGGCCTCCCACCAGTCCAGGATCGCCATCAGACGCATGTTGTTCACCAGGATCGTGTACGCGGACGAGTCGCCGCGTTTCCTAAAGCAAATATGATAACTTTGAAATCTTGCCATAAGGTGTTACCGTGCCGACAGTCTCCCATATAATTTAAGGGAAAGTACAAGCTATGACGTCAACCATTTATGATGACTTTAAAGTTACTAATAATCGTTTTTACAGAAAATTGTAAAACTGCAATTTTAGGATCAGTTGAAGTGATATTTTATAGAAATTGTGTCTTAGGAACTTTTGATCAATAGTGTCAACTACCCAATCGCTAAGTTTTTAGGGTGTACAGTGTAGGCGTATCCGCTCACCTCGCATGCACCTCGGCCTGCACGCTGTGGCGCTGCTCGGCCATGGGCTGCACGATGTGGCTGAACACGTTGCCGCGCCGGTTGGCCGGCTCGCGCGCGTACCGCGTGTCGCTCACCAGGATCTCCTGCGCACACGCCCAAACATTATAATTATCATTTCAAAACAAATGAATGAGTAAAGCCCAAGTATTTAGGAGGCTGACCTGCGAGACGAGGTCGATGTCCTGGCTGAGGTCGGAGTAGGTCTCGACGAGCAGGCGCGACTTGATGAAGTTGACGCACGCCAGCGCCGCCGCGCCCGCCGGCGCCAGCCGCAGCGACACGTCGTGCAGGTCCAGCTTCAGCGAGCTCGTCACCCACACCTGCGCGACATCGCACGTAAAGGTCAAAGAAACATACACCTAAGGCCCGGTTTCCACCAAGGCGGAGCGGAGCGGAGAAGTGTTGGGCCGTCAATTTTTTCTATAGAATTTGACAGCAACGGTGCGGAGTGAAGAGGAGAAGTGGAAATAATGAAATCTGATTAGTTATTCAAAACACTTCTCTGCTCCAATCCGATCTGCTCCGCCATGGTAGAAACCAGGCCTTACACTGCATCGCTTGTCAAGCAACTAAGGACTCTTTCACATTAGTTGTTTTGAGCCACTACAGCGTCGTCAGCGTGTCTGTACTATACAGACCTGGTCGGCGGGCTGGTCGCCGGCCTGGGGCGCGGGCGGCAGCTCGAGGTCGTCGAGCGGCTCGCCCAGGTTGTGCGCCAGCACGCCGCGCACCAGCCGGTACTGCGCCGCGTCCAGCGCGCACTGCAGCGTCGTCAGCGTGCCCTGCACCGTCATATCGGCCACTGGGAGCAGTAAGAAAACGAAACAGAAGATGAAAATAGGCCCTGACTGCACATTAATTCCAAATATTCAAATCCAAAATGTAACTGGTTTCATGCGCCAAGTAAATCGTTCGTTCCAGTCGAAAGACGTCCACTGCTGGACAAAGGCCTCCCCCTAGTATTTCCACATAGACCGGTCCTGCGCCGCTCGCATCCAGGCACCTCCCGCAACCCTCACCAGATCGTCGGTCCACCTAGTGGGAGGCCTGCCCACGCTACGGCTTCCGGCTCGTGGTCGCCACTCAAGAACTTTCCTGCCCCAGCGGCCATCAGCTCTACGAGCTATATGCCCCGCCCACTGCCACTTGATTTTAGCGATTCTGCGAGCTATGTCAGTCACACTGGTTCTCCTACGGATTTCCTCATTTCCGATTCGATCACGCAGGGAAACTCCATCGCCCTTTGAGCGCAATTAAAAAGGTAAGTTTACCCGCTTTGGAGCGCTGCGTGACGTTGTGCTCGATGGTGAAGGCGAGGTGCGCGGGCGCCTGCAGCAGCGGCGGGCCGCGCCGCACCACGCGCAGCCCGCGCCCGCCGCCCGCGCCCCCGCCCGCGCCCGCCCCCGCCGTCGCGCACCACAGAGACGCGCCCTCCAGCCGCGCGCTGCGCACGTCCAGCACCTCGGGCTCGCCTGCACAATAGTTAACACAATTGATTCACTTCTCCCTTCTATTCAAACAAATTACATCGTAATGTTCATTTTTTGTCTTTTTGTGGTTCTTCAGGCTAAATTAAAAAGTAAGTAAGTTAAAGGCTGTCAGCTCTACTCTTTGTATAGATCTTTTCGTCCACGAAGACGCGTCCCACCAATTTTTGGTCGAGAGAAGCGCGAGGTACGGGGAATTTGATCCGAGCAATCCGAGCGTCATTATTGTAGTATGCGTGTGTACTCATAGATAATTTAGCGTGTACCGACAACGCTCAAACATTAGTAGAAGAATCGCGCGTAGTGGGGCGCGTCTTAGGCCCGGTTTTTTGATTCGTAGTTAAAATAACCAATGGTCAAGTTTGACAGATGTCAAATGACAAGTGGTTAAATATCAGAAAAAAATGTTTTTCGAACAATGGTTAGCTTGACTTTTAGTACATTTGTTAACTATTAGTTAACATTTTGTTAATATTTAACCATTAGTAGCAAAATTTAACAATTTGTTATTTTAACTACGAATCAAAAAACTGGGCCTTAGTGGATGAAACGATCTACAATAATATGGGCTAACATTATGTCCGAAATAAATATAATAAATAAAATAAAATGTGTCGCGGCTCACCCGTGTATGTGTCGGGCACGGTGCTGACGGTGCCGACGTCGCCGACGCGCGCGAAGCGGTTGTCGAGGCGCAGCTCGGCCAGCTGCACGGCCAGCGCGGCGCGCGCGCGCGGCGACACCGGCAGCACGATCACCGGCGCCTCCACGCGCACGCGCAGCGCGCGCCGCGCCGTGCGCCCCGACCCGCCCGTGCTGTAAGACACCTGGGGGACAAGGAACACTACGATCAGGTCCTGGTAGCTCGGTGACTATTTTTCGACCCTTATTTTTCTCTCACACGAAATAACTTCCTTATAAATGGCTGTAACGGTTAGCGTTACCGCTGACCGTTATCTTAGATCTAAATTCTAATTTAATTACTATTATCTACCTAAATAAAATATACTTAAATAATAATATATCTAAATCTACGTAAACTACCTAACTAAATAACTTAATTAAATAATTCATATTGTTCTACACTAATAAAATAAATAAAATAATAAATCTACAAGCAAACCCGCGCGAAACAAGTCGTTCGAGATTTCTTTTGTTCTCTGTCGAGCGGGCGGACTGTTTTTTATGTATGCGCAAGCGACGCGCCTACGGCCGCGATGCTCCCGCCGCGTCTCCTAGTCCGAGCCAGAGCGTTATTGAGCACGGACGTATCGCTGTCCGTCACCGCCGGACCCGCGATGTATATAATATCTTAAAAACTAAATATGTAATCGCGAATTGGTGAACCCCGCTACCGGGTGAGTGTTGCAAAAGTATTTTTAATGTCTAGATTTTATACTTGTGCTAAATGTAAGTGCCTAGCCGCCATTTTGTTCTTCAGGTGCGCAATCCATGTGCTCAGTGTATCTGGACGATGTCATTTCGTAATTTAAACCGTTGCTACAAATTGTTACTCGTAATGTTTTACATCCTACTACATAATAAAATAAATATTTTATGAGATGACATCGACACGTCATGACCTTACATGACCTTGATCGTACTGTAACGACACTTTCTAAAATCTATTTAATTTACTAAATTGAAGTATTCTAATCTTATTCTACTTGTCCTAATTATTCTAAATTATTGCCTACCTATATTGTTTTACAAATTAATTGCCTACATAGATGATATTCTAAATAATTTTCTACCTACATAATTTAATATTTTTGCCTACTTCACTGCAATTACTTTCTCTGCGCCTACTGTAATTCTGTTTGACTGCCACATCATTACATCACCATTTATTACCAAAATCATTCCATCTGCTTCGCTAGTATTTTGATGTCGCAGTCAAACGGACAAAAGCTAGCAACTGCTTTAGTGTCCGCTTTGATTTGCAGGGTTCATCTCCACCTTCATCTTCTTCTACCTACTACACCATGCATGGTCACTACATCCGAACTACCACTTGGGTCCTTAACCCGGCGGAGCTGCCTGTCGTGTCGGACGGCCCGTGAGCACACTCTAAGTGGCCCTACACCACAGTGCGTACGGCCCTAGCCGTCTGGCGCGTCGACGACTCTGCGGGCCTACCAACTCGAGGAACCAAACCACATAACCATCAATGCTAGCGAGGACAGTGGTTTGAATATACTACCACCGGTGACGAATCTCGTGCGATACGATAGTTTGCTCGACAACCCACTCCCTAAGAGTTCTCACTTCTTTAAATCTAAATAAATTACTTGTTATCCTAAACTATCTTTTATTTCTCTAAACTAAATCTCTAAATTCTAAATATGTCACTGCTCCTAAAGCTATACCCTAACCGAGACATGGCAAATATCCGTGATTGAGTATTCCGGATGAAGCTCGCTTCCATAATCGAACGCCTGATCATCACTTACCATCAAGTGAGATACAGGCCAAAAACTTCCTCGTTGTGGAAAAAAAATGGCACAGGAAAAGAACTACACCGCGTCTGGCGTGAATGAGGGCTATCGTTTTAGCGCTCACCAGTTTGCGCCACTGTAGAGTAAGGTCCTATCACTTGCTAGTAGCGAAGACAGTGGCACCATCTGGTGAGTGCTAAAGTGGTAGGAGGTCTATCGCATTTGCACTCATCAAGATGGCACCACTGTAGAGTAAGGTCCTGTCAATCGCCAGGGGTGCCAACTGTTAAAGTATAAAAACGATAGCCCTCATTAAGGCAGTTAAGCCTCACCTTCCGTCGCGCCTGCAGGATGACGCGGCGCAGCGCGCTAAAGTCGCGCGCGATGGCGTAGAGCTCGTGCAGCATGCGCTTGGTGTGCACGTACGTGCACGCGCCCACGTCCACCTGCACGCTGCACTCGTGCCCCGCCGCCGCTGCCTCCGCGCTGCTCAGTCTGGAAACAGTATTTTACTAAATTATACAAATAGTTACAGTTTTGCTTTAGACACGCTCTGTACCTAATTTCAAGATCTATTTATAGGAAAGTATGTGATAATGAAAATAATAATTTAAATACTGCTCGCCTTTGGTAATGGAATGTTAGTGCATCATCGCCGTGCGTCCTGAACCTGTCTCTCCACAGCGCATGCCGGGGCGACAAGTCAGTGAGCCGCAGCGCGCCCAGTCGTCCGCGCAGCTCTCGAGTGCCCCCCGTGGGCCCCGCGCCCCCGGGCCCCGGCGCCCCCGGCGGCGCGGCGGTGGAGGCGACCCACACGCGGGACACGCGCGCGCGACACCACTCGTCGGCGCCGCGCACCACCACCACGCTGAGCGAACGCACTGATATCTCGGTTTGCGTTATCCCCACCTCTGTCGAAGCATCCGATTGGCTGCTTGAGTTGGATGCCACTGCCATAAAAGATAATTTACATTGACAACATTTTATAAATCTAAAATTTTGAGTTTCTTCAAATAAACTAGCCACATGATTTTGTTACTTACTTAAGTTTATATGAGAAAATGAAAGTAGTTTTGTACCGTTGTTGGCATTTTTGGGCGGCTCCGGCGGAGGCGGCTCGTCGTCGGGCAGGTCGTCGCCGGCCACGCCGAAGAAGTCCAGCACGGCCACCCAGCTGTCGGCGCTCACCACCAGGTTCAGGCAGTTGAACTCCACCTTTGTCAACTTCGTTATCTGTCAAAGATCATCAGAAACATAAGAACCTGTAATGTACCATCTTTTTTAGTCGCTATTTTCATGTCTCTCTCGCAGCGGTGTCATCACAACACAACATAAGCAATATGCATAATTGAAAAACGATATGTTTTTTCAATAAGAACATATTAGTGCCTCAGAAAAACATTTATAACTGAACAACTAATTCCGTAGAACAGTCATTAGCACGCTTTAAGGTACCAACCTTATTGAACTTTTCCTCGAACAGCGGGTGCTGCGGGTCCCTGGTGTGCACGGACACCCACACGAGGTTGTCCTCGGGCGCCAGCGACGTGCGCGCGCGCCGCTCGCCCTCGCCTTCTGTGCCCCCGCTCCCCGCTTCCCCACACTCCGGCGAGCAAGGCGGCGTGGCACCGCATTTACTGTCGCGCTTGTTACGTCGCAGCTAGAGTAAAGAACACAATGAAAGGTATTGTACAATACTGTATATTAAAGCCTGGTCCGTGAGCACGTATAATTTTGTCCAATGACCCCAAGCTACCCATCCTTATCGCTCTCAATTATGTTGCTGTCGCGCTCGCACACTCACTGCAGGCGCCCGTCGCGCATCAATATAATTACGCGCGAGCGATAAGGATGGTTAGCTTGGGGTCACTGGACAAAATTCTACGTGCTCACGGACCAGGCTTTAGCTAAATACAATATACATTAATTTGATAGTTTGATTAATTGATATCACCTCGCTTGTAGATCTGATCTAGCTCTTAACTGAGTCTACCTCAAGTATGGGAGCGGCACGGGAGGGGTAATTTTGACATAATAATATTACAACGTGACAGAGCATGTTCGAGATTTAATTGGATTTAATAAAAACAATGTTGACCGGCAAAAATACTCCATATTTATTTACTACCACAGACAAGACAGATTTTTTTTTTTTGATCATAGATATTATTGGCATTGAGTTTATAGTGAATTAGTAAATTAAACATTCAGCCCCCCAAAGGGCGACAGACCTTTAAATCAATAAACAAAGAAACAATATAAATTGTGTAGTGAATAAATCTAACAAATTTCTAGGGTTCTGGAGACCTTACAGGCAATAAACAAACTTTATGAATAGGCCTTTTAATTATTGAATTTTTACATTTTATGCTAACTACTCGTGTCAAACCATCTGAACCCGGGTGAGTCTCCAAGACCCTACCAATCAACCACTTTGCAGGTGGCAACCTGTCATCTTTTATCAGCACAATGTCATCAACTGTTAAATTCTCCTGAACACTAGTCCATTTGTATCTGTTTTGTAAAGTTACTATATACTCTTGGCTCCACCGTTTCCAGAAATATTGCAATTTTTGTTGCAAGTATTTCCAACGCTGCAAATAAGGTACTTTAACATCCGATAAATCGTCGTCCGGTGTTGATATAGGTGTTTCCCCAATCAAAAAATGGCCAGGGGTGAGTGCCATGTCATATTCATTATTTAAAGCAGTTAATGGACGAGAGTTCAAACAACACTCCACCTGACACAACAAGGTATAGTATTCCTCATAAGTTAATTTGGTATCACTTAAAACTCTAGACAAGTGCTTTTTAACAGATTTAATATTGGCCTCCCATAGTCCACCCATATGGGGTGCACCAGCAGGATTAAATTGCCAATCAGTACCATTCTGAGCTAAACTTTCAGCAATTTCAGGTGGCAAGTTTTTTAAGAAATTTGTATGTAACTCTTTAAGACATTTACTAGCACCAATAAAATTTGTACCACAATCACTAATTAGTTTTTGACAATGACCTCTACGGGCTGAAAAACGCCTGAAAGCCGCCAAAAATGCCTCGGTGCTCAGACTGGTTTTTTCGCGAATCGGTGTTCATACATTCACACAATACATTAGACGCCATGTTGTCATAAACGACATATTATAAAATCGCTGTAATTTAATATTCTTAATCATTAATTTTATGGCAAGTGTCCATCAGGAATCATTGTTCTTACACACAGAATCGTATTATTTCGCTTTCGGGTAGTAATATGTCAAAATTGTTGGTTCTTAGGCGAACAATGTATGGAGAACGAACATTGTCCTTTGATATCATCATTTTATTTTTTTAAATCTCCGTACAAAATAAATTTTATAAAATCCGATTTGTATGAAAATTAAAATAATTAAAATGAAGATATCAATTTTCTGACTTCACCATACCATTTATATGACCATGTTAACATGGGCTAGTGTCGGCTCATATACCCATTTACCTAACACCCTGTATATGTATGTAGAATGTAGATTGCCTTCTGCTCCTATCTATTTTGTGGAAAACTGTTGAGTCTGTAATTTGAGCGAGCGCGGATTTTTGTTGGAATTAAATGTAACGTCACAAGGGGGCTCAAGAATTACTGTTTGATTAGAGGGAAGTGTCACTGGCCTTTGTTTAGCGATTTTACTGCAGGTTATGGAAATTTTCTTATAGATTAGGTGGATAAGGGTGCGACCTTATCTTGTTTTTGCAAAGTTAGGTTTTAAATAAAAATTATTGATCTATCAGAAACGTGTACCTATGGATGTGATGACGTAGCCGAATCATTATTCATCAGGTCATTTCATATTTTGCACTGCATGAGCACAACCCTCTCTAAATCAGAGCCAAATGGAGGATTTGACCTACGCTCTTCTCTATTATCTTCATCTTAATCTTCACTCATGTGATGTAAGAAATACCCATTTAATAATTTACTCTTTCAAGGTAGGTAGGTCTTCAATCTCTCACAGAAAACTAAAACTACATACCTAAAAAAAATCGTCCATGGATTCCAGAGATCACCAGAGTCTATTCTGGGTTCTACCTTAAAGCATGACACATGCTGAGAAGTTGCCATTTTGGTGCAAAAAAGTAATTCATATACTTATTTTCATCATCATCATGATTTCAGACACAGGACTCCACACTGCTGAACATAGACCTCTCCCAATGATTTCTCTATAGACCGGTTGGTAGCGGCCTGCATCCAGCGCCTTCCTGCTACTTTTATGAGGTGTTCTACTGGTAGTGTACTCGTAGTACTTTACTATTTGTGTATTCTGATGAAAAAAAAAGTCTTACCGTACCTACAAAGAAAATTATAATCACTCAAAACATAGTTACTTACGAGTATTTTAATTGTAAAAAGTATTTTACTCTTAATGATATGCCGAAGTAATATTAGTAGCATAGCTAAAATAATTATGATCGCGTAAATTAGAATTTGCTTGTATTTTGGAGTTTATTGACTCTTTCCTATAATTGAATAATAATTGAGACGATACTAATTAGTTCGAAGAACCTTTGTAAATTACCTTTGTACATTAGATTTAAGTACCAGCTTTTGCCCTGACTTTGTCTGAACTTTGTATGATTCGATTTTGACATATTATTGAACAAATATAAATTAATGAAAGCCATGGACCTATAAAAAAAGTCGGACGGATTCTCATCAACAAAATACTGTGACATTCGGATACACCAGCTTGCATGTACGTACAGGCCGGCACGCACACATTCACACCCTGATACACCACTTCGAGTGCAAACTTCACACAGTTGACACATTTAAGCAGCGAAAAAACAACACGAATACGACATGTCTTGTGTGATGAAATTGTGTAAAAACCGTTCTGTTCGAACAAACAAAAATTAAGAAATCACATTTTCACAGGCAAAATAATAATCCAATCACTTATTTCCCGATATTAAAATATTGAAATTAATTGAAATCAAACGTCATTCACTCGAAAAAATAATACGTCAAAGACCAGTGTTCTCAGTTATTTACGTGGGAAAATTACCCTGATAAATAGGCATTTTGTATTAGTTTTTGTATAACGCCTGAACAAAAACAAAGGGTAATATTTTGGTGTTATACATAGATTTCGAATATAAAAAATATATAATTTAACTAATTAAGACATGACAAAAAAACTGAGGTATGTCTCGTTTCTGTCGGGCCTGGGTCACAGATGACCGTTCTTCTTTATAAACTGTAGTAATATTGTAAAGCTTAATCAAAATCAGGCGCTGGATGCAGGCCGCTACCAACCGTGCGATGTGGAAGTCATTAGGGGAGGTCTATGTTCAGCAGTGGACGTCCTATGGCTGAAATGATGATGAATCAAAATCAGATTTTGCATTAAAGAATCAGAAACATCTTCATCACAACAAAATGTAAACAGCATTTTTGTCGGCAATGGGAGGTTCTTCTGTGGTAGACTTGCCATTAGGTCTGATTAGGTTATGGTAAGGTTAGTTTTTACCGGACCGACGACATCATAAAGGTGGCAGGAAGGCGCTGGACGGAGGCCGCTACCAACCGGGCAACATGGAAAGCAGTGGACGTCCTATGGCTGAGATGATGATGATGATGAAGGTTAGTTTTTCCGTAGTAGATGTTTTTTTAAACTGTTTGGTTCAAAAGGGTTGAACTGACAAATCGCCTCCGTTTAAACATTCACATATAAAATTTTAACTCACGAGCTCTCGAATGGCTGACGACTGCTCGTTATAAGTTCGATGAATCGATATCCATTCGTTAGCAACACGAATAACCCGAATCGGCTTTGGCGTATGCAGGTTTGATTCTCAGTATGGTTCATTTAGGTCACCCTGTCAGATATTGTTAGCTGTTCTGGCGTTTGACATTGACTTCGTTCGATAGATTGGACCAATGCTATGGTTTAACGTGACCTCCTCCGAAGTACGGAATCGTGTATTTATCTATTCATGAGAGAGATTCTAATACAAATTAATCTATTTTCGATAGATCAGTGATTTCAGAAAAAAAATGATTAAAATGTGCCTTTCCATCACCACAAAAAAGAGGAGAAGAGGACCTCAAACCAACTGCGAATGTCCAAAAAAAACATGAAAGTATTTGGACTCTACGAACAAGACGTTCAAGATAGAATCAAATGGCGACGAATGATTGGGAAAGCCGACTCCGCGTAACAGGATGAGGCAAGGCAGAAGAAAAAGAACTGATTTTAGATATTGTGTGTACCACCTGGGATTCGATCCGGTCCCAGGACCATCTAATCGAGAAAAACCAACTCTAAGGGCCCTCGCCCACGGCGACTTTTTCTTTCTACTTTCTTTCTTTTTTGCAACACACTACAGAAGTGATGCGAACGCGCTACTAATGCACTACAGCAGCGTGACTGCATCTATACAAAAAGTGGCCGTGGGCGAGGGCCCTAAGCACTACACCATGTTGATGCTTGATTGATAATAGCTATCCTATTGAAACAATTGAGGGTAGAACCACGGTAGAAAAGTTAGAACAGGAATTATTAAACTGTATTGTAACATCTTTTCGTACCATAATTTTGGACAAATAAACATAGCAGTAAATAACTTTGAAAGTTTACAATTAGTCTACATTATTTCTTCCCTTGATATTTGTAATTTTATAATTACCCTTTATTAGGCTATCAAATATTCCAGTTCTCCATGCGACACATAAATATTGAATACCTATCCATTAACGGGCCAACAACACACGTAACACTCAGCGATCAGCCCACAGCTTGTTATAAGTTTGGCGGCGATATCCACCCGTTAACTACCGGGATAAATATTAGGAGAATCAGTGGCCGCACACTATGACGCCAGAGGTGGTGAATTATAGCCAGATTATTCGGGGAACGGGGAAGAGCTTGTCCTGCATCTCACCTGAAATAGAAATTGACAAGTTTTCTACGTGGCCCTCTTAAACTAAGAGCCCGTGAACGGCAGACCTTCGTTATTTTTAAAAGCTGAAAAGTCAGCGCATAGTCTAGAATTGTGGGTCATCGTAGCTTTGGCAGCTACCCTATAATGCTTGTCTGGCAAGGGGTTGGAAATGTCACGGCTCTAACCGTAACGGCAGAAGTTTGCAATGAGATAAGGTCGATATTAAACTTTTAGACTGAGTTGCACCAACTTACTTTAACTGTAACCATAAGAATAACCGGTGCTTTTTGTATGGAGATTGACAGATTTTTGACATAAATTAATTTTAAAATTTCGCGTTGCATAATTGAATTAATTTAATTAGGTTTTAATGCGCACTCGACGCTCCAGCCAGCCTTTGACCACGGCCGGTGCAACCCGAAACGTCAGGCAACTACAGGTATGTAATATTTTAAGATGTTTGACATTTTTAATAAAGTTATAGGACTTGATAACGATTAAGTTAATAAAAATAAATTAAAAAAACAATCTCGGCAACCAAGTGTGCGGCGCCGCTCACGCCTGGTTTCCGGCTTCGACAATCGTTCCGGATGTTACGAGTTTCATGTTTGATTTGTGCTTTATGTAAGTACCTTATTTAGGTGTAGGAAAGTTGTCACTAGCGTAAGCTTTAGCTAGTCGACATCTGTAATAGAAACAGGAAAGGAAATTGATTTGATTCCAAAATATGAGTAGGATTTTATAACCTTCTGTACAATTTTATAGATTCAGTAGTAGACGTCTTTTGGCTGAAATATGAGTAGGAGTCTAAAACCTGATGATGCTAACATTATTTCAGCCTAATTTGGCTGAAATATGAGTAGGAGTCTAAAACCTGATGATGCTAACATTAGTTCATAGCTAGCTAGCCTCTCCCTAGGAATGCCACAAAACACCGCTTTTTTCGTTCGTTCGTTTCAGCCAAATGACGTCCACTGCTGGACAAAGGTCTCCCCCAAGGTTTTCCACAATGAACGGTCCTGCGCTGCCCGCATCCAGGCTTGTCCCGCGACCTTTACCAGATCGTCGGTCCACCTAGTAGGAGGCCTGCCTACGCTACGTCTTCCAGCCCGTGGTCGCCACTCGAGAACATTCCTGCCCCAACGGCCATCGTCTCTACGAGCTATGTGCCCTGCCCACTGCCACTTGATTTTAGCAATTCTGCGAGCTATGTCGGTTACTTTGGTTCTCCTGCGGATCTCCTCATTTCTGATTCGATCACGCAGGGAAACTCCGAGCATAGCCCGCTCCATCGCCCTTTGGGTGACCTTGAGCCTTCTTATGAGGCCCATAGTAAGCGACCACGTCTCAGATCCGTATACCATCACTGGCAACACGCATTGGTCAAATACTTTCGACTTGAGACACTGCGGTATTTCGGACGTGAGTATATGGCGAAGCTTCCCGAACGCTGCCCATCCGAGTTGGATTCGACGATTGACCTCTTTCTCGAAGTTGGACCTACCTAACTGGACTGTTTGTCCCAGGTATACATAATTGTCAACAACTTCGAGTGTAGTCTCCAACCTTCAGAGGAGTGGGTGCAACACGGACATTAGACATGATTTTTGTCTTGTCCATGTTCATTCTGAGGCCCACTTGTTGAGAGGCTCTACTGAGGCCATCGAGCATTGTACCTAGATCCTCCAAGGTCTCAGCCATGACTACGATATCGTCCGCGAATCGAAGGTGGGTGATGTACTCGCTGTTGATATTTATGCCAAATCCGTTCCAGTCCAGAAGCTTGAAGACATCTTCCAGGGCGGTTCCGTTCGTTCGTTCCAACCGCTTTTTTATCCAGGCACAAAATAATTATCATCTTGTAGTCGTCGGTGCAGCACGCAGGTGAGCGCATTAGGTCACGTTAGGTGGACTATGACCCAGGACGTCCATCTAAGATCTTTTTTTTATATAAATATCTTTGGACTATTTCACACAGCTTCCACAATGATTTTCATATTGACTGGTTTGTAGCGGCCAGATTATTATTTAAAACGCAGTTACTTAACTACTACGTCAAGCAGCACTTCGCAGAATTTACAGGGCAGCTAATCGGAAGATTACCTTGTTTTAAAGAGCTTATTTACCTTCGCATTCCGCATTCTAACGGTGACAAATACTTATACTTTGAATGTTTTAAAGTAGCCTTGTCCGTATTTGTTTACGAAGAAAGGAAAAAGATTGACTTTTGAAAGACAAATCGAGAGTCAAGCCTTATACAGGGTGTTATATTGTATCTATTTGTTTTAAAAATCGGATTAAAAGACAGGTTGTTGTGTGTGTGTGTAACTGCTAAGGAGTTTTGCTTGATGGAACTGTTCATCAAATGTATGGATAAAGTTTTTTATTTGGCCTCTTAAATCATCGTATCCACAGAATTCCATTGCTGAACATAGCCTTCCTGCAACCTTTATGAGGCTATCTCACGGTTCCCTTGTGATATGTGACCACCATTCTAGAACCTTGCTGCCCCATTGGTCGTCAGTTCTGCATGCGATGTGTTTTGTCCATTGCCATTTCAGCTTGTTATTCCGTCGGGCTCAGTCAGTGAGTTAAGTTTGTTTACAGAATCCTCATTCGATAACTCTATTAATTTAGGTGACAGTAACGAACCAAGTGACAACCAAATAAACAATTTGAATATGAATTAGACCGGAAACGTCTGCCTGTCTCCAAACCCATCCTGTATATCCTGAATTCAACCCCTGAAGGGAATTTGTGGTAGGGTCGTAACTCGATTTTATTTACGACTCGCCAGGCAGGGGTTGACAGTGAGACCGATCGACGCAACCAACAAATGTGACTCCATTATCTGTTATTCCGGGAAAATCTCGAAAACGACTTCTGACCTCCGTTTTGGTTTAAAAAGAAAACAGTCTAAGGTTGACTTTGCAGAATTTTGATCACGGATCAAGGCAGCGCAGGACTGGTCTTTGTGGAAATCCTTCGGGTGGCCTTTGTCCAGCATTCAACGTTATTAGGTTTAAATAAATGGAAAGAAGAGATGCGGATTGGTTGGTATAAATATAGGATGTGTATCACGCCATATTTTAGTTTCGTATTTCGCCAAGCATGAAACCTATAGGTACTACATAAGTAGGTAGGCTCAAAAATAACACCATACCTTAAAGGACAATGTTCGTTCTCCATACATTGTTCGCCGTTAGATCAACAGTGCCGAAATAATACTTTCTAGGTTCTAAATGACTTTGTGTCATTTAGAACCTTCTTTATGTAAGAACAATTATTCCTGGCGGACCGCGGTTGCACGCACCATCCGCAACCAACTGCTAAATCGCGAGGGGTCCGCCGCCAATGTAAACGAAATAGGCGTTGGCGTGTGAGAATTTTGATCGTTTAAGGCATGAATCTGTATGTAATCTGCCTTAAACTCCCGTCCGAAATCATTCTGAGTTAAACTAACGGGTGGCAAAGTCTCCGAGGGCCAAGTTTCATGACTCTTAAGGAGGAAACTAGGACCGCTAATCCATCGAGAGGAGACTGCAGAACTCATTCGAGTAGCTTCGTCCGCGACGTTTAAACTAGTCGGAACCCACCGCCATTCACAGACCTCAGTGATTTCGGATATTTCTCCTACACAGTTGGCAACAAAGGGTTTTAATGAGCGGGCTTCAGCTCTTAGCCAACCAAGAACGTTCATTGAATCTATCCAAAATACACGCCTACATGGAGTTACATTGTGCTCCGCCAGTATAGTGGCCGCGAGGCGTGCGGCCAGCAGAGCACCCTGCAGCTCCAGACGCGGCATCGAGACTGGCCTGAGTGGAGTGACCCGTGACTTCGCTGCAATGAAGGATAATTTGACTTTACCGTTTGAATCCAAAATACGCCAGTACGCGACACTCGCGTAAGCTAACTCGCTGGCATCAGCAAAGACGTGTAGCTCCAGCTCAGATTGGTCTAAGTCCGCGTTGCAATGAGACGCATAGCAACGTGGAATGTTCATATTTTCCAATAACGCGATATTTTCTAACCATGAACCCCATTCTTTTATATTATTTTATGCACATCGATTTGGGAGATGTTCTGTATTGTAGTTGTCGCAGCCAAATTGTATTATAATATTGGACGGGTTTTGGAAATAGCTCGGCGTTCCACTTTTATGATTTACTTACTTACATTTTGCACGTAAATAAATAACATGAATCCTATGTTTACTTTCCACTCTTGACATTTAACACGTGACTTACCAAACTAACTATCTCCATGGTTACCGTCTTAGTCTATGCATGACTAGGGATTGAACAACTTTTAATTGAATATTATTAACAATTCTCGATAATTATTATCGATTGAAAAATATTCGGTATTTGAATCGAAAGATATATTCAATTTTATCAATATCAAAATATTCAATTTTAATAATAAAATAAATATTATTTACTACCACCTATGAAATGTTCTAAAAATTGCCTGGAGCGCTCCCCCAATCCTGGGTTTTCCCTTTCCAAGCTGAGAGGATATCATTTTGGTTCTATCGATACATTATAAAGGTACTTAATATTTGAAATGTATTACCAATTATTGTTATAAGCATTTTGAGCGAATAAAACTTTCAATTCTATTAGAACTTTAGACATTTCTCTCACTTTAAGCGGCATTGGATTTTTCATCGAATTTTGAAACTGTAACAGATATGTTAAAGATGATCCCATATTGTTGTTGTTAAAAACGATGGTGTGGACTGTATTATAGAGAGGCCTGCCGGTGGTGATTGTGGTATGCCACTAGAATCAAGGAAACTCCAAAAAAGGGCCAAAACAGTAGGTATATTTCAGCTTTGCAGCTCAAAACATTAACACGAGAGTGTACAAAAACCAACTTCAAAAATCAATAAAACAATATTAAAAAAAGTAAAAAAACCATAAACAATATAAAAAAGGATTGCTGGCCAAACTGCCAGCAACATCCTCCACCCCCCTGGCAGAGCCGATTTAGTCAGGAGGGGGACTGGATGGTAGTTTGACCAGCTTGGTGACTGGTCGCCGCAGAATTCCGCCGGGAGTGGTGACCTCTGTGACGCGGATTATTCCGTCCTTGCCGGGGTGGACCGCAGATATTCTGCCTCGAGGCCATGTTCCCCGCGGGAGATTACCGTCCGCGATAAGGACGAGGTCACCAACTTGGAAATTCTGCGACGAAGGACCTTTNGTGCAGCAGCATTTTTAGAAGAACTGGTTGACGTACGATGTAACAGTTGATGATGATTGAGTCTACATTGATTTATGCCACACATTTTTCCTTTGGAGCATGAACGCCATTGATGTTTCTTTTGAGATAAGCATTTATAACAAATTTTATTATCACGAAGGAATTGTACTCTTTGGTCAACATCGATAGACTTAAAACCTCCACAGTCTATGATACTATGAGAATTATGACAAAAAAGACAAGTGTCAGTTACGCCTGTCACATGGACGTGACACTTCCTGTCATGTGTATTGTTTTGAAAATTCATTTTATTTACAGGATAATTTTGTTGAGAAATTAAACCAAAACGTGTGTGAATCCTGCATTCGAAACGAAGAAAATCAGACAATAATTCCAATTTGGATTTCTCACCTGTGTGTTCAGCGGCATAGCGTGTCCACAGCATACGCATCAACGGTGTTAACTTTATTAAAATTGTGTTGTAAAGTTCCGGTGAATGCAAATACTCCAACTGATCTAAATGTTTCAAAACTGAAATTAAATTGTGTACACGACATGAAATGGTGTTTAAATCTTTGAGATCTGTTTGTAGTCTAGGTAATGAGCGAATTTGTGCAAGCTCTTCTAAAACTATGAGTTCTGGCCGTCCAAAATTATCTTCTAGAGCTTGTATGACCTCTTCGGGGTCTCTAGAAGTCAGTAAGAGAGCGGACACAGATAGAGCTGCGTCTCCGCGCAAGGAAGATCGAATCCGTTCTAAATTTTCGGTGAGAGAGCATGACTGACTGGTATGATAGTATGACTGTTTGAAAGCTATCCAGTCAGCTGGTTTTCCACTAAAAATAGGTAGTTGAGATGGTCTAGGTTTGTTGGTTAAGGAAGTGATGGCACGAGCTAGCTCTCTAATGTCATTAGATTGATGATGACAAGAAGGAGAAACTAGATGTGGTTCTACATGTTTTGACGTCAACTGACTATGATTAGGTAGTAAGCCTTCTGAACCTTTGGGTACCGTGTTGACAGCATCAAAAGGACCTGGACTGTCCTCTGCACTTGAAGCGGCGGGATTCTGCGGCTGTGCAGCGGCTGATACGATATCCGAGAAATGGTCAGGCAAACTGTGAACCCAAGAGTTGACGGAATTATTGCGTGTACTTGACTCGATGGCAGCGAGTTGAGCTGCCAGAAGTTTGTCTTGAGCTACCCTCTTTGCCTTAGCTAACTGCTCCTCAATTTCAAGCATAGCCTTAGCGTGAAGAGCTTCGGCCTGTAAGCGAGCTTTAACTGTGCTGGATGTAGATTTAGACCTATTAGAGTGAGTACCTCCAGCATTTGAGGTGGAGCTATCGACGCTTGGAGCGACTCCACCTGCTTGAGGCACCGTGACACTAGGATCTACACATACCTGTGAGACTTGGGGCTCTGTAGGGTTACCTGATTGGGTCTTTACCTTGCTTCTAGTGAGCATGGTACCTTCACCTCTCCTATCGGAGGACCAATGTTAAAAACGATGGAAGAAGCAATTTATGGAAAAACTCCAAAAGGGCAAAAAACAGTGCAGCTCAAAACATTAACACGAGAGTGTACAAAAACCAACTTCAAAAATCAATAAAACAATATTAAAAAAAGTAAAAAAACCATAAACAATATAAAAAAGGATTGCTGGCCAAACTGCCAGCAACAGTTGTCATTGTCTATATCAGTGTTATGATCACAATTCTTTTTATTTTATTCATGACCTTCGACCAGTTGGACACATTAGATAGCTTCTTGTAGTATCGTGCAATATATTTTTAACTTTTAATTAAAATCTAGTCATACTGTAGCAATTTGGACGATTTATTTTATTTACAAGATCGGTATCTTATTGTCTATGATGACCGCAGTCAACATCACTATTACATGGATTCCTAACAATGAAGTACGGCATTGCCTTGTGCCGATTTTACATAGATTTTATCGACACAAATTATGGAACTTCATAGGATATGGAGCAGGCCACGCCCTAAAATGTCCGGATGTCGTCATAGTATTATGGAATACATATAAAATACTTTTATTTTTTCATTTTTTAATCCTCAAGTGTCCGTTACAATCTAATTAATATTTAAGTATTCAAAAAGTAAGAGATTAATTTTGATACTTTACTGCTGTGCCCAGGAATCTGAGGCGGTTTCTGACAATGTCCTTTAAATCGGAGCACAATGGCAAACACATTACAATATTTTATTCCTACAATTTAAATACATACAGAAGAACACATAACTCCAACTTTTTCAGTTGGTTAAAGAGCTCTCGTAATCCTAAATTCTGTCATTTAAATTATCTAAGCTTCGCACGCACTTTAAATAAAAGTTTATTGCAGTTAAAAGTTAAGTCCCGGATCTGGGGCGCGCGAATATGCAAATATCGCCATCCTGCTCTAATTTTGATAGTAAAAATGTTTCATTAATCCTGAGTAAGACTTAACTGTACTTTGGTTTTGTTAGATACTTATAATTTTGTGATAAGATTTGTTTAGGTAAAAAAGGCAAACTCAATGTGTGTTAAGTTAAGTGGCATTCTCCACCAGCTATTTAGGCCATGCAGATACGACACTGATAGATAAGGTCATTAAAATTCATTCATAGCTTAACTTTTAAAAGGTTGTTTAAAAGTTAAGGTTCATAGGTTCATCCATAAAACCAAGTGGGATCATCAAACATAAAAATAAAATTAACCGATCTCTTGTAGATTAGAAAAAGATAACACTAAACTATGTTGGTGGCATAAAAAAAAAATAACAGCAAAATTCGAAACACCTGAAAAGTCCTGTATTTCACAACGTGAAACACCAGCAGTTTTTAAGGACACGTTTCGTTCCTTATCGCACTAAATGCCTAATAAAAAGCAGGAATGCGTACCTCCTTACATTTACCGAGCTAAAGTATACCATAATGGTTCAGTATAGGACGTTACCCAAATCGGTTTTTGTGGTAAAAAGGCATAGTCAGTTTCACAGCCTTAGGTAGGTATTGCATAAAGGGAGCGCAGAGTTTCAAATGAAGAATCTGCAAAATACTACTCATTGTTTAGGAAAGTAATAATTTGCAATGTTTTTTTAAGGCAGGAAAAACTGTATAAAAAGATAGAAAGAGAAAAAAGATTGACAAATAGTGGTATTTATAAATCGTGTCCCAAAATTCAACGATAAGCATGGTCATGGTTACTTTAGAAAAAAAAAAAGAATTTATTTTTTGATAATTTTTTGTGTATAAACTGCAAGCATTCTGGGGGTTTTACATTGTACGTGGTGGTAGTAAGAGTAGTATGTCGCTTAGCTTTAAAAAAACATTTTATAAGCATGAAATCGTACTTCATAATTTCAGCCACAGGACGTCTACTGCTGAACATAAGCCTCCACCAATGACTTCTATATCGCCCGCTTGGTAGCGGCCTACATCTAGCGCCTTTCTGCAACCTTTATGAGGTCGTCGGTCCACCTTGTGGGTGTATTATTTAGATAATAGAGAAATCGACATTCATTAAATTCATAATATCAAAATGGTTACATCATTAATGTCTATCCTAAATAATACCACTGCGAAGCCTAAGCTAGATTTAATGGCTTAGCCTGTTTTACGCCTGTGAAATAGATTTTATGGGGCATTATGGCCCATGATAATTAAATTGCATTTTAGGTCTAAATAGTGTGACCATGCATTCAAAACATGTTGGGATAAATACGTACTTCCAATAATAATATAGGTTTAAAAGAGCTAGCAATCGACTAAATCATTACATGTTAAAAAACAA